CTACTGCGAATAGTGGTCTGCTTCGCGCAGTGCCTACTTGTTGTTGTTTTGGTTGTTTTCGCGTACTGCTGGTTCATGTTCTTACCCCCTCTACAGTGCAATTTACCTTCCTCTACAATGCTCGCATGCGAAACCGACAAGCTATCCAGCGATGGGTCAAGGAATGCCAGGAGACCTTCGAGGAGATCGTTCAACGTTTGGCAGGGATCAAATCAGAGACATGCTATACTCTTAGCGACTTCCCACTCCTTCCAATGAGCTATGACGGTCTTCACAGAATGATGACGAAAACCCTGCCCGAAGCTGGAGTCACACAGGATAATATCGAAGATATATACCCTTGCGCGCCACTGCAAGAAGGATTGTTGATAAGTCAGCTCAAAACTCCAAGCTTGTACCACGTCTATGCTATGTTCGAGGTTTGCTCTTCACCGGGCGGACCACCCGTAGACAGGAAACGATTAGCCAGTGCGTGGCAGAAAGTTGTTGATCGACATGCAGCTCTACGAACTGTTTTCGTGGATAGTGTCTGCAAGGGTGCTATCTTTAATCAGGTCGTCCTAAAGAAGGTCGACAGCGGATTAATAACAATTCACTGTGAGGAGACCGAAGCTGTCGAAAAGCTGAGTTCTGTCTCTATATTAAACGCCAATTATACCAAACAGCCTCGACTCCCGCACCAATCAACCATATGCGAGACGACAAGTGGGAAGATCTATCTCAAGACCGAAGTCAACCACGCTGTCATAGACGGCACTTCAGCAAATATCATTCTCCACGACCTCACTGCCGCTTATCATGGAGAACTCCCTGATGGTCCAGGTCCTCTTTTTAGCAACTACATAGCTTATATTAAGCGGCGTGCGCCTGGTGAAAGTATCAACTTCTGGAAGGCATACCTCGAGGGTGCCTCTATTTGTAACTTTCCAGTACAGATCGAGAAACTTCCCAAAGATCGACAAGTAAATGCAATCACCATGAACTTTGAGCGCTTTCCTGCATTGCAAGACCTCGGTAAGAAGCTGAATGTCACGATAGCCAATATCATGAGCGCAGCCTGGGCCTTTTGTCTCCGCGAGTACACGAAGTCAGATGACGTCTCTTTTGGATATCTTACAAGTGGTAGAGATGTACCCGTGCATGGAGTCCAAGGTGCTCTTGGCGCTTTCATCAACATTCTGGTGTGTCGGGTTAAGTTCGCGAAGCGCGCAACGCTCGATGAGATCTTTAAGGCGGTGCAGAACGATTATCTCCAAAGTTTAGAGCATCAGCATGTGTCTCTAGCACAAGTTCAACATGATCTTATGTCAGGACGAGCTCTTTTCAACACTGCTGTATCCATTCAGAGTGATAGACCGTCGGAGAACCAAGAAAAGAACCACATCATTTTCAAATCGATACTCGCCCATGATCCAAGCGAGGTAAACTCTTATCCACTCACAAAACTGTTTGATTACTGACATTAGTTACAGTACTCTGTCACTCTCAACATCAGGACCCTGAAAGGTGAAGAAGGCGTTGTAATCAGATACTGGACCGACGTCATGTCACCAGATCAAGCAGAAGGGCTATCAAATATGTTGGGTACAGTGTTGGACTACTTCATCAACAAGCCCGACCAACTGGTGGAGGAGCTTGATCTGTCCCAATACCGCAAAGTCCCTCGCCCTCAGCTACTTCTTGGAGCTGCACCAACCAACGAGCCGTCCATCATCCCTCCTCCAATCATCATGTCGGAAACGCAGCTGCGAAACATCATCAGCGAATGCGTGCGAGAGGTAATGGGCCAGATACTGAGCTCAGAAGCTTTTCCGGCGCATGCGCAAGGAGTCAGGAGTGACACTGTAAGCGTTGTGAAGCAGGAAACGATACATTCCATGATTGATTATGCCCAATTGACAACATCGCCACCTCCACGACCACAAATGGCAAGAGCTTCATCCGCGAACACCATTGCTTCAATAATGCAATTGAGCCCAGTCGAGCAGAAGCTCCTGTCAGTGTGGAGTGAGCTACTCCAAATATCTAAAGAATCCATCAAAAAGGACGACAGCTTCTTCAAGCTAGGAGGAGATAGTATCGTAGCCATGCAAATGGTGGGGATGGCCCGCGATGAAGACCTTGCCCTGACTGTTGCCAACATTTTCACACATCCAACTTTCGCGGAGATGGCTGCAGTGATTCGTATGGCGGAAGAGGCACAGTCACCATCTTCGGTCGCAGTAGCTAGAGACTACATCGAAGCTCACAACTCAAGATCTCAAGCCATTCAGAATGCATTCTACCAACGCTACTCGCTACTCGAGGCTCAAGATGTCGATACGTTCCTCCAACAGAACATCTGCCCCAAAGTACGCTCGTTCCGTGGTGGAATAGTCGACGTCTTTCCCGTGACCGATTTCCAAGCCTTGGCTATTACTGGTGCCCTCATGGAATCAAAATGGATGCTCAACTACTTTTATCTGGAAGCAGATGGAGATATCAATCTCAAGATTCTCAAATCAGCTATTGCACGAATGGTCAATGCTTTCGACATTCTCCGGACTGTGTTCACTCCCTATAACAATCGATTCTTTCAAGTTGTGCTACGAAAACTTCAACCCTCATTCTCGGTGCATGATACCGAAGATCTAGAGAGCTTCACGACTGCTCTTCAACAGCAAAGTCGGAAAAACGGGCCTCGCCCTGGTGAATCGTACCTCCAGTTCACAGTTGCTCAGCAGAAGAATAGCAATCGCCATCGGATCATTATGCGCATATCGCACGCCCAGTACGACGGTGTTTGCCTCCCGAGTATTTTGAGCGCTCTACAAAGCGGATACGAAGGCCACAGCATACCAGAAACGCCAGATTTCTCTGCTTACGTTCGGGATGCGGCAAGACAGACAACTGATGAGCACTACTTGTACTGGAAAAGCCTGCTGAAGGGCTCAGCAATGACAGAAATTGTTCGTCGTCGAGGGCCAAATTATAGCCGCGGAACTGAAGCTCCAACGAATTTGAAGCGCGTCGTTCGCATGCCGTCTCTTGCTTCTGAGGGAATCACTGCTGCAACGATCATCAAAGCTGCTTGGTCCCTCGTTCTTGCGAAATGGTCAGCGCAATCGGACGTTGTATTTGGAAACGTGATTAGTGGAAGAAATGCACATGTTCCTGGTGTGGATCGCATTATTGGTCCCTGTGTCAACATGATTCCAGTCAGGGTCAATTTTCAAGAAGACTGGACGGTGCTTGACCTCCTCCACAGCATTCAAGACCAACAGGTCACAGCGATGCCCTACGAGTCTCTCGGATTCAGAGAAATCATCAAACACTGTACTTCGTGGCCCGATTGGACTAACTTCTCCACGGTCTGTCAGCATCAGAATATTCAGCGGCAGACTCAAATCCAGCTTGGGGACAATGAATACACTTTAGGCGCTATAGGATCGCAAGAAGATTTCGCTGATCTCACTGTCTTATCGACACCTCAAGAGGGCAACCAGATTGAAATATCGCTGATCTTCACTTCGAACAGCGGTATCACCCTCCCCTTCGCGGAAGCGATGTTTGAAGCTTTGTGCGAAACTGCTGTTAGCTTCCCCAAGGACCCCATGGCATCTCTCCCACCGCCGCCAGAGCTATCACTTATGCCACAAAGAACGTTGGATGAGGTTGTCACGAGTGCACGAGAAGATATGTCTCTCGATCCGAAAGATCTCAGTAGAGACGAGTTGTCAACACATTCTGCCATGCTCACGATGATATGGCGACAAATCTTAGGAGAAAAGACTGGCCAAGTGACTCCGATTGCGCTGGAAGCCTCTTTCTTTGAATTGGGCGGAGACATCATTGGAATTGCGCAAGTTGGCTCATTGTTGGAGCAAGAGGGAGTCAAGATGGGAATGGAAGACCTCGTTGACCATCCAAAGATGATCGAGCAGATTAGTTTGATAGCTGCAGAGGTCAGGAAAGAGAAAGAGGCTTTGGCTGCTGAAGCGATGGTTGCGTCGGTACAAGATGCACCCGAGCTTCCTAAGAAGGGATTGAAGGGGATTTTGGAGAAGTCTGTTAAGTTAGCCAAGAAGATCAGGCGACGACGAGATAATGAAGGCCATACATAAGGCCACAGGGGTTATGAAGGAAATTTGAGCGCTGGGTTCTAGATCAATGTTTGAGTTTATTATCGTCACTCTTTATTACTTTAGAAAGCTTCGGGGAGACATGTTTATTCATAGATTGAACCCATTTGTAACAAGGCAATTCTCTAGACTACATACACGCGTACTTCTCTCCATGCTCAAAATCCTATACGCACATATTTGCGCGAGTAATCTTACAAGCCACTGCGCGTTAGCAACGCAATATAGTTCACCAATTAATATACTACTCCACTCGCCTAGTACTTCCTTACACACACGAACAATTGAAAATAATGCCAAAAAAATTGGAGTCCATTGATCCTGGCAGAATTTGCATCTACAACTCTCAGTCCTGTCTATCTCCATTGCTCGAGGAACAGGGGGCACCATAGGCGTCTAAGAAGGGGATGCCTTTTACTGAGTATGTTGCTTTACACCACAGGACCATTTTTGAATTATGGAAAACTTGGGGTTATTTAATTTTATAACCGTACGGGTGTGGTATGGCGCTTTCATCCGAGGATAACAAGTCTGGGTGCAGACTAGCATTGTGGGACTATGGGATATCCCCATAAGAATTTACGGATAATCATTTTCACAAGAATCACGGTGAGCTTTATTTTGAAATCCATGAATTTTATCGAAACGAACATATATATACAAATCCGATCGCGAAGCCGAAACGAGTTCCAGAAACACCATCCAAATCCTCAACGCTGTCTATTCCCTCATCAGGGCCCCATTTTCGCTTCTCAACTACCAGTACCACTGGTAATACTCTCCAACTTTTCCCTCTCACCACTCTCCCCAACCATTCCCCTGAACACGCCATTCTCAAGCGCGAACAACTCCTTCGGACTTCCGAATTCTGCAACCTTGCCATCATCTAGGACTAATATCTTGTCGAAGTCTGCGATGGTGCTGAGACGGTGCGCAATCACAATTAGTGTTGAATCGCCGAATTCCTCTCGGATAGAGCGTTGGATCAGTGCATCGGTTGCCATGTCCACTGCGGAGGTGGCTTCGTCTAAGACCATGATTTTGGGGCGGGAGACGATGGCGCGGGCGAGGCAGAGAAGTTGACGTTGTCCTTGGGAGAGGTTGAGACCACCTTCTGTAATCGGAGAGGTGAGGGAGGTGAATGGATTTGTGTTCTTGAACGGTGTTGGTGTGATGGAGCCTTCTGTCGGGGTGTTGAGGCCGGTGTTGAGAGCTGATGCGTGAGCGCTCAGAGCCTCTGCTTCAGCTGACGAAACGAGATGGACTCGTTGGAGTGCATCTCTCAATTCACTATCTTCGTGGTCGTCAAATGCGTCGAGATTGCTGCGGACTGTTCCAGAGAAGAGGACAGGATCTTGGGGAATGATAGCTAGCCGTGAACGCAGAGCCTGGAGCTTGATTTTTGAGATATCCAGTCCATCGATATGAACACTTCCTTGTCTAGCTTCTAAGAATCGGAATAGTGCCAAGGTGAGTGATGACTTGCCAGCGCCAGTACGACCCACAACCCCAACGCGCTCGTTACGCTCCACGCTGAAGGACAAGCCTTTCAGAACAGGTGGCAGATCCGGTGCATAGCCGACAATGAGATCGTCGACCTCAAGTCTACCTTCACTAGGCCAGGCAGCAGGAGGATCAGCACCTTCAAGAGATTCCGTGGGAAGTCTGCTATACTCAATGATGCGCTCCGCAGCATTCATGTCAAGCTCCAGATTTGTGTAATGGCGGATAGTCCAGATAACCACTGATCCATAATCCAAAGCAAAGGAAAGCGCGAAACCAGCGAGTGCTGCATCAATGCCATCAATAAGGAGGATCATAATAGCGACGAATGTGGCAAAAAGGCCACCAACGGCTGACATCCTCCATCCCATCCAGCGATTGAAAGCCCACAGATGCCAGAAGGAAGTTGAGTGATCATCGATCTTGGAGAACATGCGCTGAATGTACACGTCGGTTTTGTCAAAGGCTCTGATGGTGCCAACACCTGTGAGTGCAGAACCGAATTGTTCGAAGACGGGAGATTTGGCATTTGATTCTAGGCGTTTGACTTCTCGAGCACCTGTCAGATATAGTCGCGCGATATATACGCACACCGTCAGGAGGGCCAGAGAGAGAAGAATCACGTAGGGTGATACGAAGGTTCTGAAAGATGTCAGCGATGATGCTTTGCATGTGCTCTGAGAAAGAACACTTACCCTGCAACTATAACGCCAATCAATCGGAAGACATTGTTACCTCCAAAGCCAATATCGTTAGCCAGACGAGAATCCACAACATTGAAATCCGCCGTAAAGCGATTCAAGATTCTGCCTAGCGGTACAGTGTCCATCCATCGAAGAGGGGTCCGCAAAATCGTAAAACAGAGATCATCAAATAAGCGGCGAGATGCTCGAATAGAACCGGTATAGACATAGAAGTATCTGAAAGTCCCTAGCAGAGCCGACGCAATTGCGAGAACGATGTACACGCTGAGATAGTATGATAGGGGATGAGACGACGATGTTGGACTACCAGCCACGGAGGAAGTGCTCAGGCGGCCCAAGTCGTGAATTTGGAAGGAATAGGTCATGGAATGTTTAACGCTCGTATGTTGCTCATCCTCCCCGGTCCACAGTCGTAGCCACCATGAGCGACCTATCAATATTAGTGTGAGAAATCCTAATTCAGCTTGGTGGCTTACCTGTAACAAGTACCTGCATTCCTGCAAAAATGAAGAAAGCCAAAGCCCAGAAAGGAGCACCCCCACTAGATCTCAAGTATTCCAAGTAGATGCCAGTCTTGACTCTACCTCTCTCGCGCTTCTCATCCTCGACGAACTTCTTAGGTGTAGCCTTCTTGGAATCGATCTTCTGTAAAGTCTCTATCGTGTCTCCATCAGATGATTCTTCAGAATTGACAGCGGTTGGATCCTCGTCTCCTTCATGTCCGACTTCATTCTCTTCGTGGCTGATGATTTGCTGAAGTGTGCCTTCAGCCTCTAATTCCTGGACCATGCCTGCATTCTCGACAGTCCCATCACCAAGCTCAACAATATATTTAGTCTTGGACTTGCAGAGCGCGACATGATGTGTCACGAGAATTCGTGTACGCCCAACGCCAAGTTCACCAGTTAGGCCCTTCTCGAAAATGAATCGTCCAACGTGCGCGTCCACGGCACTAAAGATGTCGTCGAGGACCAATATACCAGCTCGAGAGTACAAAGCACGAGCAAATGTGACTCTCCATCGCTGTCCACCGCTCAAGTTGATACCGTTGGCCCCAATTTCAGTATTCTCTCCATCAGTGAGCATATCCAGATCCTTCCTCAATGCACAAACCTCAATGACTTTGTTGTATCTATAGTTATCGTACGGGAGACCGAACAAGATATTGTCCTTGATGCTGGCGTTCTCGATCCAAGGTATCTGTGCAACGAATGCTATGGAGGAAGGAATGATCCAATTGTCTTTATTCGCAAGATGATCATGACGATCTCGAGTGTGAGGTGCCTGAGGGACGCTGATTGTTCCCGCTAGCACGTCGACTTCTCCAAGGATCGAAGCCAGCAGAAGACTCTTCCCTGTACCTGTCTTTCCACTCACGACACTGAGTTCGTTGTCAGGGAAGGAGACATTGATGTTTCTTAGGACATATCTGAGATCGTCATCTTCCTTCTCTTCGTCGGAAGGCCAAGCAATTGAAGCATTTTCGAATGAGATGTTTGGAGCCGCACTTGTGTTCTTGCTGATCTCGGGGGCATTGAGGTACTTCTCAATACGCTCCACAGAGATCCAGGCATCGATGAGATCGGTGGTGAGTTCGGGAATGACAGCTAGGGTGACTTCGAGATTGCCAAAGACCCCAATGGCAGTAAATGCAACGGACGGTTGGAGCTCGCCATTCATGATTGAGTAGACAGCGAGTGACGTGGCGGCAAGGGCGATTGGACTTGTAATCCAGCAGCTGTTTGGGTTAGTAGTGGGACCTTTTTAGAAGCTTTGGAAACATACAATAGCAAAAAGGTGTCGGCCCTAGATTGGTCAGCATTTATTTCGGCCCAGAGAGGGTGCAGTTACTGACACATAGACGCTCCATTGTTCACCAAGCTCTCTTTCTCGAACCTTCCCAATCTTTGCGTGCCAGTTGTCTTCTAGTGCCGAGAACTTGATCTGGCGAATGCCTGCAACATGTCAATCAAGCGAACGCCTCCCGTGAGATTTCATACCTTGCAAAGCTTCAGTAACTACACCCATCTTAGTATCTCTAACCTTCATAAGTCGATCCTGAGCATCCGAGTACCGCTTGCTGAAGTATATGTTGAGAGGAATAGTAAGGGACATGGCAGCAAACCCGCAAAGCAAGGCTTTCCAGCCAATGATACTGATCAAGAATGCAAATGAAACAATCAATTTGAAGAGACTGCCAGCAAAATAGTTGTTGAAAGAGCAGAAATCGGAGACTCGCTTGGTGTCTACACCAATGAGATTGACAGTGGACTGCTTTCCCTTCGGCTCTGTATCTTCCTCAGTCTCGATTTCGGGTTTATCTCCAGCCGTGGCATTGTTGGAAGCATCGGACATGTCTGGGCCATCACCATTCTCTTTCTTCGGAGCCTTGGAAGCACCTTTCACATCTTTGCGTCGCATCGCCTTCTGGAAGATGAGAGCGGATAATTGCGCTCGAATTGGAATGGCAACTTCAGACCACGAGATCCAAAACAGCCAAGATTCGATCCAGGATGCTCCAACTGTAGCAAGTGTAAGCGTCACAACCCAGATCCATGCTTCAGCCGTGACAGAATCCCCAGGTTTCTTCTTCTCCAAGATCATCAGGATATGGTACGTGACGAACTGAGGAGCAAAGTTGCCGAAGGCTTGTAAGAGAGTGAGTATCCATTGAATTATGAAAGCTACTTTGTGTGCGAGGAACACTTCAATCCAAAGTTTCTTCGTATGGTTCCGGTGGGCCCACGCATTACTGAGATCCTTGGAACGAGTGAGGTGGTCCATCTTGGGCAGATCTTCAAGTTCAAGACGATTCTTTGTTCTTGAAAGGCGAAGAAGATGGGCACACCATGAGAAGCTGTATCGGCCCAGAGCAGAGACCGTATACATAGCATCCACGGGTGTTCCATCGTAGAACACCTGTGGTCGTCTTGGGATAGAAATACCAGCACCAGCAGCCAGAATAACGAGAGCGAGCTGTACAATTCGAAGGGCATTCTGCTCTGATGTTCCGAAGCTCTCTTCGGCTTCATTTTTCTGTGCGATGAGTCCGTCCTCAAACAACAAGACAGCGAAAAGAAAGATGCTTGAAACTGCCGAGTATACTCCCCAGTCGTAACTTTTGACGGGATTTCGGATCAGGGAAATGGCAATGGTTTGGAGAACGATTAGGGACTAGGAGAATCAGCATAGAAAAGGGGATTTTGATGGATCACGTGAACTCACCCATTGCGCAACATTGATCCAATTCTCAATGAACAATCCATCATCTTGCCCTACAAGACCAAGAACAGCCAAGGCAATCGATAGAGAAAGGCCGGTAACTGTGAAGATGCCAAGAGAGATCTTTGGGATTTTTGCAGAATATTCCGCCACCGATTTCTCAGTGGCAACGCCATCTTTATCCTCATACTTGGTGGATTTTGGCTTGGGTTCCCGTAAGTGGGATGCAATTCCAATCAACGAGGGCAGTGTGAGGAGAAGAACCAAAACGAGAGCTGTAACTCCCGCAACAAGGGATCTCGAATCGTTTTCGAGCATCTTGATTGTCCTATGATTGTCTAGAAAATTTAAGGGTGAAAAGCTGGCTCATGTCCCAAGGTAGAGGTGGAATCTTTTCACGAGTGAATTGAAGAACGTCTTTAGGTATCAGGACCTTTCATATAATCTAGGCTCGACTTCGCGACGTTCACGAGTGTCGTCAGTCAGTCGTGGGATACCGTCTGATATTATTTTATTTCGGTATTGCTGAACAATAATTGAATTTCGCACGTCGAGACCAGTCCAATGGGTATGGTTATGACCGTGAGGCGACGTCTTGGTTTGGTGGCGGTTCGGAATTGGTTGACTCACTCCGGGCAAGGGAAGAAAAGTGCCCGGTAATTTTATGCTGCAGGTGCAACTGCGGGCGCAAGTGAGGTGATGGCAAATTGAAGGTTGTGATATCTCTGGCTGCAAAATGGTGCATGCAGGCTCAACCCCAAGCTCTCCCGATCTCCTCTTGGTGGGGCAAAAGACGTAAATTCAGTGGTGCTGCGCGGTGGATGCTGGAATGATTTGATGAGAAGCCACACTAAGCGCGATCAAGAAGGTAACTGAAGAAGACGAGAGGAATGCGGTAGCAACCTGCATGTACTGTATGTATCTCTGTCTATCTGCATCGATGAGTGGGGTGAAATCCGGGGAGCAGTAAATGGCATGCCCAGCAACGACAGACAGATCATTTGTCCCAATAGGAGAATAGGGGAATAGACTCATCGAAGGGGACCTGTCCGGGTAACAAACGCATCCCACTGAGGATGACGCATCTTTCCAGAGGGGCGTCAATATGTTGATTGGTGATTATGACTCCCGTGAATGAGTGAATGTGAGTAATGGCCTCTCCCTAATGCCCTGGGTGCAAGTGCAATTGCAAGTGCCATCTGATAGTGCTGTTACTCCGCCGTCCGCCATTCGAGCGGTGAAGACTCGGTGGGCGAGGGCGAGGGCGAGGCATGTCTTGGATGCAGCCATCATGGAAGATGCAGCGTCGGAAACGTGCTGACTGACCCACGATAATGCTATTGGCAGCGGTGGGGTCGATATTGGGTGCATGAGGGTTCCGTTGAGCTGGTTGTGTGAATCAGTTGACTGTTTGAATACCTGCAGGACTGAGGCAACGAATTGTGAGATGCGAGACGTTTGCACATGACATGATACAGAGAGATGATGGGGTGTGCATGTGAGATAAAGAGAACATCGGTGGAGGAGAGTGAGCTTGAGCTTGAGCTTGAGCTTGAGCTTGAGCCTGTTTGATATATTAAGTATACAAGGAAATGTTACAAACAGCTGACGAGATAGATAGACTCCTGAAAAGCTTAACATAGTACGAGTCACGTGGGAAACCTTTCATGTAATTGTTTATTGCAGAGGGAATACAAAGTGTAGCCAGCCCAGCTCCTTAGATAGACCTTCCCAACCTTGTCATATTATTCCCTCAAAGTTGTTCCTTCCATTGCCTGTCTACTGCACTGCTAAATGGCATCTCCATAAAACATGACCGTCCATCCGTCAATCCTGATAATGCATGCATATCTCTGGATACCTTTATACTTGTGCAGCTGACACAACATCCCAATATCAGAACCTCCAGCTCTAAGGTTATTACTTGTTGTTATTCCTGGGTCTAGAATCCAGCAACGGAAACTCAATGTCCATACCCGAATGCATGAAGCAAGCCTTCAATCACATCCGACATCGCTCAGATACCTGGATTCAGACTGCCTGGACAAAGAGGAGACGAGGAGACGAGGAGACGAGGAGGAAGAGGCAGACGGCTCACGAGATTGTGGGACCGTGAGACCGCCTTTTGAGCGGCTTTCAGTCGCCGCATCTATTTTCGTCAGGGAAGCTCCCGTCACCAGGAAGTGGCGGCTGTACGACGAGGGGATGGGATGGGCCAGGACCACGGCACTTCATAACCTTCGTTAGGCGGCCCTTGACAATATTCAGTTTGATATCCATCAAAATGGTACGAAAGGAGAGTTTGTCCACAAAAGAGTACTTCTTACTCAAGGATATGAAATAAGCGCTGAAGGGGTGTGACATCTTGACCAAATCATGCCGTGAAGAGGGGTTATCCGTTCGCATGCCGCGAGTTCCAGAGTGGAGAGAATACCGCTGGCCATGTTGTTGCAAAGCCTCCATGGCGTCCCCAGGAAATGTGAATTGAAAGTCTTTCTTTATAGAAATATCTATGGCAAACAGAAAAGTAATGTTCCCCAACAAGAAGACAAACGATGCCAATGTCAAAGTTCTTGCTCCAATACTGGCTGGCTGCAACTCAAAATCCAGGCACATGGAACCAGTGAAATGCTCACCGTGCAGAAGCTATTGTCCAATGAAGAACAGACAATTCAGAATGCAAAACTTCAGCTCATCTCAGACTTTGAGATGCGTCTGTCAGCCAGAAATCAAGAAGACAATTAAAAATGAATCGAATTGGATTGAGCTGGGTTTATCTCAATTTCTGCTTCCTTCATTTCGATGCTGTTTGAGAAGCTGCTGCCATCAACGCGAGATTGCCGCTAAATTCCATTGATACACGACCAAGACTCCGCTGCGATGCACTGCATAACCATAACATGAGAGGAAGCGGGCACATCCAATCCTCAATTCAACTCGACTCAATTCACTTCAACTTCAAATCAATGACCACAAGAAGTTTCTTCACGACCAATTCACGCGCATCGCCATCCCATAATCCTTCTCGCAAACCTTCTCCACGCCGTCTTCACACGTTATCGACAATCAATCTCGCATCCTCCGAATCAAACGAACCTCTACCCTAATCCCTGCCCCGACCTGCCGACTTTCAAACCACGACTCTCCTCACCTTCTGCAAGTTCGACTTCAGAAAACATCCACAGATTATTCTCCCAGAGACTCTTTGTCCTTCGATAATCAACCACTTCTCGAGTTGTCCTGCGCAACATCCGGCTCTGCTGCCGCCGATTTCTGTGCTCGACGGCAGCTCTGAGAGCTTCGAATCCACGCCCACCATGAAAGCCGCGCCCATAATCGTCAACTGGCATGCGGAGAATGCTCCCATCTACTCTGCAGACTTCCAACCGCATGGCAAAGGTCGACTAGCCACCGGTGGAGGAGATAATAATGTTCGGGTGAGTTTGGCACGTCTCGGGGGGTTAGCTACTTGCTGACGGATTATAGCTCTGGAGATTGGATTCTGAAGGTGAGGATAGAAAGGTTGAGTATCTATGTACGATGGTTAGACATACACAAGCTGTAAACGTCGTCCGCTGGGCTCCTAGAGGTATATACGTCTTTTGAACCCAGCTCTTTCTCAGTACTAACCCCTCACAGGAGATGTTCTTGCTTCTGCCGGTGATGATGGCAACGTTATTACCTGGGTCCTCGATACGAAGAACGCAAAGCCTACATTCGGAGAAGATGGAATTGAGGACAAGGAGGCATGGAGAGCAAAGCACATGTGTCGTTCATCAGGGGCTGAAATCTACGACTTGGCATGGTCTCCAGATGGGGTATACTTCATTACTGGAAGCATGGACAACATCGCCAGAATCTACAATGCCCAGAGCGGTATGTTTCAAGCAACCTAATGGAATAATACATACTGACAAGCCTAGGACAACTGATTCGACAAGTCGCAGAACATCAGCACTATGTGCAAGGAGTAGCATGGGACCCTTTGAACGAGTACATTGCAACACAGTCCTCCGATCGATCCGTCCATATCTACACCTTGAAGACGAAAGAGGGCACATTTGTCTTAGATAATCGAGATGAGGATCCGAGGAAGATTGGTCATAATCTGAAGATGGATCTTCCTGGACGCCGAATCTCTTCCAATAGCCCCGCTCCGCCAGACATGGGATTACGAGCACAAATGGGAGCACAAATGGCTGCAGAACCTACTTCGAATGCTATCGGATCACCAGTCCCCTCTTGCCCTGGCACACCTACCTCTCTCGCTCTCCCCATGAATCCTCCAAGCACCATCAGCCATAGCCGCAGATCCTCCTTTGGGGCAGCATCACCAGCTATGTCTATGCGAAGATCAGCATCGCCAGCGCCCTCACTCCCGTTACCGGCTGTCATGCCCATGGAAGCATCACCAAAGCCATACAATGTTGGCCTTGGGCTCAAGAATGCGAGCATCTACGCCAATGATACCCTGAAGTCCTTCTTTCGACGCTTGACCTTCACTCCTGATGGAAGTCTCCTTTTCACACCTGCCGGTCAATACCAAACACAGCAGAAGGGATTGGAGGAGGCAGCAAAGACAATGTATGAGGTCATCAACACAGTTTACATCTACACTCGAGGTGGAATCAACAAGCCCCCAATCGCACATCTTCCTGGTCACAAGAAGCCTTCCGTGGTTGTGAAGTGCTCTCCTGTTTACTACACAACACGAAAGAACCCTCCTCCCACGAAGCATATTACAATCGATACCTCCTCCGCAGAAGACGCGCTGGCATCACTTCCCGAGCCTGCTGTCCCAAAATCCGAGTCCCACTCGGTCATGGAGCCACCACCTCCTATGCCGCAGACCACTGACCCTGCTGGTCCCACTTCGTCGCCGAAGCCCAAGCCTCTGGAGGTGGAGACCAATTCATCGACACAAGGACCGACGATGGCATTCTCTCTTCCATATCGGATGGTGTATGCTGTCGCCACAGAAGACTCTGTTTTGATGTACGATACTCAACAACAGACCCCACTTTGTGTTGTCAGTAACCTTCACTGTGCGACTTTTACTGATCTTACATGGTAAGCTTGTCTCAGCCTCATTTTTGAATCTGCTAATATCCTACAGGTCTAATGACGGTCTTACGCTTCTCATGACCTCTTCTGATGGATTCTGCTCCACCTTAACTTTTGCCCCAGGCGAGCTTGGACAACTTTATACCGGCGAGGTTCCTACAGCGAAGAATCCTATGATCAGTAATACCACTGCATCATCCTCCCAAAATACTCCAATGGCAACTCCTACCTCCATCGCACCGCCATCTCCGTTTCCCAACAACCATCACCGCACTTCTTCCTCTGGCATTGCCGTTGCTCCATCTCCTCCACCTGGCATGAATCGTCCTTCCTCACCTACTCGATCAAACTCCACTTCATCGATAGCCACACAATCTTCTTACGCAACTCCAGCCGCTGGTACAATCATTAGCAATCCAACTCTTGTCGGAGGAAGCATGCCAAGCATTGCTGCCGGAAACATCAGCTTCATGAACGGTATGCCCATGACTACACCACCCCAAACACCCAGAAGCACAACCAGCAGTGTCAGCGGTATCAAGAGAGATGCGAGTGAGAGTGAGAAGGAGGATGGAGCTCTAGGTGGCGAGAAGAAGAGAAGACGAATTGCACCAACTCTCGTGAACGAGCAGAATGGTAGCTCAGCGTCATAACCTCTGACGAAATTATTTCCTTTGTTCTTTATTTCCGGTGTTAGGGAAGGGCAAAATTGGCATCACTGGGTTGGCATTAGCGTAGTGGTGTTTATGGCTTGGGTTCGCAGTCTAGCCTCATATTCCTGGCATGAGTGCCTAGGACAGAACTTGGGTGCTGGATATAGCGGTGACTGCAAGAGAGCAGACATGTAACAAACATATTGGTAGGCGGAACGGAACCTTGCGTGTATGTATCCATCGCAGCATGCCCTGAGGGGATGAATTCGTGTGGATACTTAGAAATTTGACATTGTCCTCTGATCCTCTTGCGCTCTGGTGACTTCTTCTACTTGCTACCAGTGTCTTCTTCCGCTTCGACTCTTTGACTCTCAATGTCCGCCGAGTACTATTACTTGCAAAAAACTGTGGCAGCTTCGCTCCCCTGAGCATCCACTGCATACATTCCCGCCCACTTCCTCCCCCCTTCTCTTCCGTCAGATATTCTCCTCTCTATGTCCATTCAAGCAAAACAGCAAACACTCCATCATAGATCAAGCTATAAGTCTACGGCAACGGTCAGTTTGTCAATTCTATCATCCCCTTCCCCTGAGGCTATTTTCCGAAACCCCTCATTCTCTTAGAAACGATGTTCAAGGAGCCGTTGAACTTTGAACAATGGGAAGATTGTTCTCTGGGCTGAGCATCTTCTACTGCCTTTAACTACTCGGGGATGTCCTTGAGCAATGTTTTCTTCTTTTGCTCTGGCGGAATTCGGGGAAAGAGGTGCTATGTGCGGGGTGCGAATTGTGGTCCTTGTGAAATAGGTATGCTAGAGCAAGACCAAGGGAAGAGAGGTGAGAGTGAGAAAGGTAGCAAAAGTAAAGAATTCTTGCTCATGCTAATGTTAAGTAGAGTATAGTTGGTCTGGAAGCATAGATGGATATGAAATAGCATCAGTTGTCGTGGAAATTGGATGCAAGATAACATTGATCCAGAATTTGCAGGACAATGTAAGGTGCCTGAAGGTCCCAGGTATGGGCTAGGATCTTGAGCATGGGGTTGTGCATCTACAGTATGACGTGAATTTCGGTGGGAAATCTCTTCTACTCGAGGAACCTGCTTCTAACATTGATATTGTCCTACAATTATTGGAACAACATTATCTTATAGTCCAATTCTTGCAGGGACGTTGTGTTTATTTACCCTCAAATCCGCAAAATCCCCCCTACCCCCATTCAACTACCCTTCCTCTCCGGATCTAGGCCAACCCGAGCCCCTTCAGGCCTCACAATACCCTCCAATAACTCATACCTAATCCCCCTCTCCATATTCCACTCCCACACACTCTCATAATCTACACACTTCCTCTCGATATCAAAATCTGGAAACGGGAATCTCTGGCCCTCCACCCAATTATGCGTTATGACGTTCAAGCTCGGTTGGCAGGTTAAAGCTTGCATGAGGAGGTAAGTACAGTGGGAGAGGTGGGTCGTGTGCCAGGGTGAAGGTGCGATGTTGTAATATTCAGGCCAGGCGGATCGGCGGAGCATGTTGAGGCAGTGGAGGAGGTGTTGGGAGTCTAAGGCTGCGAAGTGAGTGTTCATTCCGTAGCCTGATTGGATGTTAGTCGTGTGGTTGTGAAAATGGAACAGGGACAGGGACAATGTACCCCAGTCTTTGGGAATCTTGACAGTCTTCTCGGGATCCTTTCCCAGCTTCTCAACATCAGAACTAGAAATGGCAAACCATTTTATTCTAGCTAGACCCTCCCATGCTGCGTCTACTTCCGGGGAAGGCTCTTGTCGCCAAATGAGGTTGTCGTTGTTGTAGACACTTCCATTGACGGTTGCATGGTGGATGGGAATGGGAAATTGTTCGAGGATGGGCGCTGGATGTGCGAAGTGATCAGCGAGGAAGGACCAAAGAAAGGGAAGAACGAACAGAAGGTGTTGACTTGTTTGAGATTATAGTTTAGGGCGCCTTGGTTCGAGAGATCACGTAGAGACAGTAGTAGGATGGAAATGGAGATTGTGAACAAAAGGACATTGAAAATAGCAAAGTTCCTTTGGAGTTTATCGACCCTTCGCGGCTGGGGCAGTGTGCCTTCCGGATCTGTCTAAGTGAGAAAACTAAGCCAAGCTCGAATTTTTTGAGATATTAGAAGCAGTGTTAACTCAACGTACTATCACGCTCTCGTTCTCCTCTGTTTCGACTTCTTTGTAGACATGATCGTTCCGATTCCTAGCTGCAGATAGAAGGTTCAACATCCTAACATGATCTGAAAGATTAGATGTTCCGTAGAGAATCTCAAACAGAAGAGCGCAAGAACCGCCATGAAACACGAAGTCACAAGCAGAACCACGATCCGCAATGTAGGTTCAATGTTAATCCAGGCCTCGTGTAATGTATGCAGTCAATATAAGAGCCGTGGCAGAGTAGGCGTCCTCATTCGGCGCACCGTATACTGTGCCACATTTTCGTGTTCCGTGTTACATTGTTTGATGGCTAAATCCCAGACTGGTAGGTGCCTCTTAATATCAAGCAGTTATAAGGTTGCCAAATCCTTCAGTGACAGATGTTCCAGGTTGTAAGGGTCTCGAGACATCTTTAGCCAGACTGATTCTAATACATAGCCAATGAGGGGGTTGCACCGGCATTGGAAGTTTGGGGAAACACTAAATCAATGCTACGAAAACGCTTTGCCGGCTGTGAGGCGCGGCGGTGAGTGAATAAGAAAGGAGAGGAAAGAGGGCGCCCATCAAAGTTTTGCTGAACATAAATGCAAGAGAAATCCACTGTTCAATGTCCGACAATCTAAAGGAAATTGACAAGATCACCATCACCAAATCCAAGAACACTATCGCCCCTTCCCGAAGAACAAATCAAGCAACATGAAGTTCACCATTGTCGCTCTTCTTGCCATCCTCAGCGCCGCGGTTTCAGCTGCTCCCATAGTCGCCAAGTCCACAGGTACGACAATTTGCTATTCCTGAACATCTCACTAACAAATGAGCAGAGGAAGTAGCAGTGCGCTCCGAGGATAGCACCGACAAGGCTCCTTCCGCTTGTGGAGTGGAGGGATCATACACCTATCTTTACTGCTAGACTGGAAGGTGCTTGACTTGGCTCGGAGTTGGAGGTTATGATAAGACGTAGCAAATCTGGCACTTGTAGTGCTCGTTTTGTTTTGGCTTTCTTCAGCAGTTCAGCAGTTGGTATATCAGCTGTCGTCCACTTGTAACGTCGCAACTTGGGAGTGGTTTGCATATCGAATGAATGCGTTGGGATGAATTCTTTAACAGCAACTTGCTTCTGTGAGGATCGTTGTTACCCCATGTTATCGAACAAACAAGTCATAGATTTCCATGAATTTTACTTCTGCAGCGGCTGTCCCATCCCGCCATATGTAATCATCTTCGTGACTTGGTATTCGGCAATACCGTATTTACTACCCTCGCGGCCGAATCCAGACTCTTTAACACCACCGAAAGGAGCTGCTGCATCACTGATCAGTCCAGTATTCACTCCGACCATGCCCACTTCCAAGGCCTCCGCGACACGGAAAACTCGTTGTAAATCCTTGGAGAAGAAGTATCCAGCCAATCCGACTTCTGCAGAGTTGGCGACCTTGGTAACTTCTTCTTCGGTCTCGAATTTGAATAGTCCAGCTACAGGACCGAATGTCTCTTCTGAGGCTAGGGCCATTTCAGTGGTCATACCAGTGATAACTGTAGGCTGGAAGAAATTCGAGCCCAGCTCTGGCATCTTCTGACCTCCTTGAATGACCTTTCCGCCTTTTTTCTCCGCATCTCGAACATGAGCATCGACCTTGGTGATCGCTCTGTCGTGAATCAATGGGCCATGTGTGACGCCCTCACTATAACCACCTCCAACCTTGAAGTCCTTCACCTTAGCAGCAAACTTCTGGGCAAACTCGTCGTAGATTCCGGATTGGATAAAGATTCGGTTCGCACAAACGCAGGTTTGACCTGAAGATCGGAACTTGCTCGCAATTGCGCCTGCTACTGCCACGTCGAGATCCGCATCATCAAAGACGATGAATGGTGCATTTCCTCCAAGTTCGAAGGATAGCTTCTTTAGTGTGGAAGAAGATTGCTTCATCAGAAGCTTTCCTACCCCTGTGGAGCCGGTGAAAGAGACCTTCTTCACGAATGGTGACGAGGTAAGGATTTCGCCAACTTCGGGAGTGTTCTTGAGAGCGCTGACAACGTTAACAACTCCCTTAGGAATTCCCGCCCGATGTGCCAGCTCAGCAAGAGCGAGAGATGTGAATGGTGTCTCGCCGGGTGATTTTGCAACGACTGTGCAGCCAGCTGCCAGTGCTGGTCCGATTTTTCGAGTAACCATAGCAGCTGGAAAATTCCATCTAAGAAGATCAGCAATGTCTTAACAAAGAGAGCTCTCTGCTTACGGTGTGATCAAGCCACAAACTCCCACGGGCTCTTTAATCGTCACCACCCTATTCCCAGCAACTGAAGCTGGGATTGTATCTCCGTATATCCTCGGTGCCTCCTCGCTGAACCATTCAAAGAAGCTTGCAGCGTACGCAGCTTCGCCTTTGGCATCTGCCAATGGTTTGCCATTCTCCCAAGTAATGAGCTTAGCTATATCTTCGGAATTCTCGACCTGTATGCCATGTCAACTGCCAGTCTCTTCCATGACTCCGAGTAACCTACCATCAAGTCGTACCATTTTCGCAGAAGCTTGGAGCGCTCGCGGCCGGTTTTGTTTCTAAAGGAGGGGAAAGCAGCAGCCGCTGCGTCGATGGCGAGTTGAGTATCGGCGGAATCGAATTCAGGAGCAGTACCAATCAGTTTGCCCGATGAAGGATCTGCGAGAAAGAAGAAGTTAACATCTGCTGCCCACAATGTCCCAGGGATCCAACCATACCATGGACTTCGAACGTCTTTCCCGACTTTGCCTGCACCCATTCTCCGTTGACGTATGCGACATTGAGCTTCAGCAGAGATGGATCATTGAGCTTGGGCACGTTGTGTGACATGGTGGAAGCTGGTCGTGTAAATATCGAAGGCAGAGAGAAACGTTGAAATCGTGATCGTGAGACTGTTCGTGAAGCAGAAGCTGTGGACTTGCAGAAGTGGTTCATGGCGGGGAAGATGTTCAGACCGAGGCAGAACTACTCGTAAGTTCTACGCTTCAGCTGATAAATATGTCACCTTGGCAATGACATGGAGGATAAATGCGAAAAAGGTTCAATTGGTTCGGGAATAAGAGAAAGAGAAGTAAATCATGATGATGAGAAATTCCAAATTCCTTCGCGGAGGGACAATCCAGCAACTAAGAACGTCATGGCAGTTGAATCCTCAGATTCCAGGAAACAAGGCAGCCATACCTTGGAAGCTAACTCGAAAGAGGCTAAGCTCTGCTCGGCTTTTCTTCTGAGGGGCGAAACATCGAAAGAGGCAAGTCCTTCCTTGACAATGCCCCTCTTATATCTCGCCGCACAGAGTGCCGGAACGAGGGGAAACGAGCGGGTAGGAGCAGTTCATGTCGGGATGCATACTCCAGTACAGTATCACCATATCATGATTGTGGTCTTCTTTATCATCCATTTGTCAATTTAAAGTTTGTGCTTACATGCCACTGCCACCACTTGTTCATCAGCTTGGCTTTTCAACATCCAAAGTTCGAGTGAGCATGTTTGTTCGTCTATTGAGCTCATCCATACCTCGATGTCTTTTTGTATGACTTGTGATTTCACACCCGCAATGTAAACTTCCTGCTGCGAGCTCATGATTTGCTGAGTCGAGTTCCACTCTCCACGCACAACGGAAAGTTGCCCCATGCCCCAGGAATCCAGAGATTTCTCTGAGCCAGCAGATCTTGAGACTGCTGGGCATATTGACAATCTTGAAATAACGAGCGAGGCGTGATGCAATGTGTAAAATGCTGCATGTATCTATTGACGTTCCACCAGTGTTCTATCAACTTTTCATGCAGGCTTCTTCCTGTCCTATTGAGCTCGAGCGAAGCCTCGAATCAAATCCACCAAGTACTGATGAGAACACAAACAACATATGGCAAAGATAAGCAATGAAGCTGGACATATCTCGCTTCCCAGACCGGCGATTGTTCCTGCTTGGCTTTCGAAGTCGGGTACGCAACCCCTGTGATGCCGTCGCGATCTAGCAGAGATTCCCGGTCAGGGACGTCGGGAGGGAAAATAGCATATTGTAGTGGTGTCAGACAAGCGCTGATCTGCTGAAACCATTGCATAGGAGGCCAAGCTACTGTAGTGAGAAGGCTGATCCACAAACTTTGCCAGTCACCACTGTAATATTGCAACGAGTTTCGAACTCTGTTCGTGATGGCAAAACTGCAGAGAACCAAGAGCCCAAGGTGAAAGATTGCCCCGCAGTTAATCATGATGTTCTTCAGCCGGTAGATCATTGGTGAGCGAAGACTCCGCTGACGCTCATTGAGACTGTTCGATATTGTGCCAGTGGGGGTGAAGCCAGTCACTTTACCACCCAGCCAGGCAGGTAGAAAGATTGATCTGGTTATTGCTAATGCATAATCTTTGAACTCTCAGCTTCTCCTCAACCGATTAAAAGAGGGTTTGGAGCTTACATGGTGCCATCCACAGCTCATTCGAACCTTCCCTAACACAGGCTTGAAACCCAGAGAAGAGCGACGTATGGAAAAGATTTATCCAAGTGAAAATTATGCCTAAACATTTCAATCGCAGCAATACTTTCATCTGCTCCAAATCTCGGTAGTATACGAATTGGAGGTCAGTGAACAGGAAAATGGGCATCAGCATCATGTTCATCGTATTGATGATCGAGAAAAACGGTATAATCTGATCCTCCATGCACGCAAGTCTTTGCTTCAATGTTAGTTTTCCGATTCGGTATCTGGGTATGGTGAACCGCATGTAGGCACCAATTTGAGCAAGCCCAACTGTCTATCAGGAGTAAAGTCAGCAATATGTCTGAACACTTCTGACTAGGTATATACTCACCCATCGTGTGAATTGCTTCACATGTGCATGGTAGCTCTCCGGGACCTGGCCATACTGCAGAGCCTCGGCTACATAGCCCGACTTCCACCCTGCTGCGAGGAGTAAAGTCGAAGTAAGCAGGTCTTCGGTCAGAGAAGCAAGAGGAAAACCGCCAATCTCAATCAAAGCCTCACGCCTAATTACCCACCCTGACCCTGTACACCACGCGGAGTCCGCCATATCTCTCGTGAATGCTTTGCATCTGTAAGAATGTTTTTGTGCTTGCCATAATGGATCGTTGAGCGGCACATTGTAATAGTGCTTGATGAGAGTTAGTTCTCTTGTGGTTTACGAAATGAGAGTTTTCTGTTTACCTGAGGTGGGCAGACAACTGCTAGCCTTGGATTCTCCACAAGATGAGGTGTCATTGCTCTGAGCCATCTTGTCTCTGGAATCATGTCTGCATCAAGGCCAGCAACAAGTTCTGCTGAACCTTGAGGAAGTTTACTCAAAAACTTCAATGTATGATTTAAGTTTCCTGCTTTATAGCCATCTGGCCCTCGTTTCACGCGCGCAGTGTAATACAAATTTTGAAAGCGCTCTGCCATTCCAAAGATTACGGCCGACAGTTCTGCAGATGATCCGTCGTCTGCAACAATGACTCGGTATCGATTCTGAGGATAATCCAGTCGAAGCGCTGCTCTGACTGTATCCAAAACGATGTCGATGTCTTCATTGCAACATGTGATGATCACGTCGACAGTGGGAACATTCTCACCGACGAGCCGTAGTCTAGGTCGCCATTGACCAAAAATAGTGTTAATCTGTTGCATGACGGGAAGCACTTGGATCATAATTAGTATGCGCAATTGAGATGGCAGCCCATCACTCTGAACATACCTGCAAATCCCATTTCAACAATCCACATGATCGACAAGAATACACGTGATCTGCCGGGTGCTTCCGTTTTCTGGATCTGGAACTGAACACTCATCGCCCAGAAGTTAATCAGCAAGGCTGCAATAACTGTGACGGGCAACAATCGGAAGGCTAGTTGTATCCATGGTTTCATGAACATGACATCTTTGTTCTTGTTTCCCGTGACTCTTTCGATGATGGCGGGTTTTCCTTCCAGAGATGTAAAATTCGGGAAAGTTGATTGAGCTTCGTCTGCATTGTGTTTGGTAGGGGAAACGTATTCCTTTCGCGCTGATACACTTCTCTGGATTACAACCGGAACTTTATCGTTCACGACCTTTTCTTTTTGGGGGCTTTGGTCCCTCATTTTGGAGAACATAGTCTTGACAATGGAACTGCTACATTGTGTGCCAGCTTGATATATCATGAAATCATCGATATGACACTTGCCACTCCGCAATACATGAAAATGGCACAGTAATACCGGACTCAAAACTCAAATCTTCACGTAAGCATGCTCCTTTGAAAAAGTGATTCGAAATACAGAACTGCAGATCTCCGGTCAGCTTTCAGTTAAGTCACTTGCATGAAGTTTCTCGGCTTATCCGAGGCTGCATGTGCCGTACTTGTGCTTGCATTACATGTGAAGTATCGTGCTGTCCTTAAATGGACACTTCAGATAAGCTTAGTTGGGCCCTACTCGATGGGAGCTATCAGAACTGCATGAGAGCTTTTGATAGCACATTCAGTTTCCGGTCTCGGCGATGTAGAAAGCCAAGACTGGAATATCCAAATATCCTCACAAATCTTGGCAACCGCTTGTGAATAATCAAAATTCAGTGCGCTTGCTTCACAGATCCATTTGGGAGTTGCTGCGAGGAGAGCCAAGGACCTCAAGACTTAAGTCAGCCACTGGGAATCCTGCCTCAAAGATGGACGCGGTATCATATCCTACTTCTCAGATGAAATCATTGCGAGGATCAAAACCTCCCATCAGATTGTATCTACAAAAGTAGGCAAGAGCTCCGAAAGAAGGACTGCCAAGTTCTGTGACTTCACTGCCCCTTGTCATTATTGTGCTCAGATCCTGACTTCAATGCCACTCTCTGCCATCCATGCCGGATGTGACAAACCGGGGTATCGGAATATTTCAGCTGCAGCGGCGCAGCCATTCCTCCTCCACTTCACTGGATTTCGTATACGAGACTGATTGATATGCACAAGGAAGAGAAGCCTTTTCGGTACTGAGAAAGGTCAGGATAATGTGACACAAACTGATTGGGTGTTGCGTATTTCTCGGACCTCCTCCTGCTTGCGTTCCTGCTTACACCAACAGGATATCACATTGTGACTTTAGCTGCACGGGGTATTATAGGCCGAGCAGGTAGAAAAAGGCTTGATGGGTGAGACCGGAAGATGCGTAGCGATGTGAAACGGCATAATTGGTGTAGGAGCATTTCGTCCGTCAATTGAGAACTGTTGAGATCATCTAATCCCTCGTGCCATGGTTTTGCCTTGAACATGGATTGAGCAGCGTAACGTAGATAACCTTACTCCTAGGTTCTCCCGAAACAATGGAATGTGCCCTCACTATATCCTTGATTTCGATTCCGCGTTGCCACCCGAATCAGATGTAAGCAGCGTATGCCTCGTGCCCAGTTCATCCGACGGTCTCATCTAACTCGTTACTTGGAATTATTTCCCTCATCCACCAAGTATCTCAAGAGATGTATATACGAAATTCTAGTCTCTCGTTCTTCGTGCATCAAGTCTCGAAAATTGTCGAATTCTATTCCTGGAAATTAGGATTTCGACGAGATGAGCGTGGTGCATTCAACAGTGAGGCTGCGAAGGGAATGAAAGAAAGAACAAGCCAGACTTTGGCATGGCTTACTTACAGAACTCAAATTTGTCTCTTGGGATTGATATTGTTTTCCTATGGTAACTTGTCTCCTACATTCAATTGCCTGTGACAAACTCAGCTGACATTAGAAGGTCATTTATGGTTTCAATCTATGATGGGATATGATCAAATGATCATCACAGGCACCAAGTGGACAGTTAGTTGCATTTTGCTCATTGGTAGGTTTGTTCCTTCTGAACTCAGGGTGCATCCTGACATCTCGGGCTAGTGTACTTACCTACACTGTCAAACATCTTCTTTTTCGGCATGCCGTTGTCTTCAAAGTCGTCTATGACAGATCCCGAACTACGAGTTCGAGAAGTAAGAAGGTTGCACATTTGTATTGTAACTCGAGGAACCAACGTTGAAGTAAGTATCTTTCCATGATCAGGTTCACGCGGAGACACTCAGACTAAATTGCACCCAGGCAGTTGCTCGGTCTTGGCGTCAGATGCAACATTTAATGCAGTTTGACTCACGAGTGAATATCACCATAGCCACAGATGAAGCTTATGAAGCTTGTTTCAAAGAACTTGGCTTCCAGGTGGTCGCCACTCCCAATTCTTTCCATCCTTCCAAAGCCAAATACAAAGCTAGGGCTTTGGCATGGTTTGCAAGTCACATGAACTTACAAGAGACTGATTGGGTTCTTCATCTCGATGAAGAAACAATTGTGGACGAACATACAGTCAAGAACTGTATAGATTTTGCTGAACAGCAGGATCAATACGACCTTGGTCAGGTGAGTCACTAAAGTCTTGCTCCACAATACTCTAATCGACGCGAAACATTGACATGTTGTTCCAGGGCGTTATCTTTTACAATGCTTTTGGCTTCTGGCGGCAAACGTTGATAACCTTTGCAGATATTGTGAGAGCCCGGGATGATCTTGGCAAGTTTTATTTTGCGCACAATTATTTTCACGTGCCTGTCTTCGGAATTCATGGTTCTTTCCTTTTCATCAACGGGAAATTGGAAAATCAAATCGGCTGGGATACTGAATCTCTTGTTGAGGACTTTTGGTTCGGAATACAGGTAGAAAACCCTTTGTCTTTCTCCTCTCCAGATTTTGACTTCGACGCACAGGCTTGGAATAAAGGTTACAAGCTAGGTTGGATCCGTAGTATTGCTCGAGAGCAATCTCCTATGACGGTGCTAGACCTCTGCAAACAACGTCGTCGTTGGTTTTCAGGCATGCTACAACTTCCTGGTATCTGGGGTAGATTGGCCTGTCTCCAGTGGTGCCTCTCAAGTGTTGGAGCAACAGTAATGTGAGCGAAGCCACGCGACGTCCCCATGAGTGGCCCAGACTAAATTATCGTGTTTGCAAAGATTTTTCCTTCCATGGTGGGGCATCCAATTTCCACTATGGGCGTATGTCTATGTGACGGTTTGCGCTGCTGGAGAGAGGTTAACTTTAGTCTACTCTTCCATCATACAAGTGGGTCTCTTCACTTTTTCAATATTGGGAGCGCCTGCCAAACAGTAATGGAGATCGGAAACTAACTTGAGTCAGGATATCGACGCAGGCGTTGGGGTTGTCCCGATGATACTTCATGTTTTGCTATGTCCTGTGTTTGGAGTTGTCGCAAATCTTCTCGACATGATAACAATTTTATATAGCTTGGTAAAGCCTGCAAAATCGTTCTATGTTGTACGAAAATAATCAACTCCAGAAATAAACATGGAGGTTAGAAACGGCAAGTGAGGAATAGAGGCATCTCAGGCAGTTAGACTTGTTACCAGAATGTGCATAAATTTCTCAGGCAGACTTGAAATCACAATCACGTTGTACTTAACTTAGGCTTACGTCTCAAAAGACCATCAAAAGGTGGGAATAATCGGCATAGAGAAACCTGCCAAGTGAGGTAAAGGGGAGGCTCCAAGCTGGCAGGGGGAGAGTGGACAAGGAGAAGATTACAAAGGAAGCGGCTCTGGCTGCTGATCCTTTGAGCCTCACCTCTCTCTCTTCGCGAATCCCCTTCCACCCTTCAAGCACTTGCTAAGTAGCGTCTGTCTTGGGTATGGTACATCAGGTTTCTCGGTTTCGTAGGGCGATTACTCGGGAGGTGGACGGGCAGGATTTGTTACCATTCTCAACGATAACTCAGCCATAGTCTTACTAGAACATACGAGCTTAGAGTACAGCTATACAATGAGGAGCGGCCTCCTTCCGAGATTCTACAGGAGGAGAGCATCACAAGTAAGATAGTTCCAGCAACATGAATCGTTTACCGAGGAATTAAGATACTCTTCGTTCTATTTAACAGCGCGCCGTCTTTCAACACAATTGTGTAGTCATAGCCTTCGGGGTCGTCTGTTTTGTCGAATTCGAACCAAGAACATGACATGTAATTTGGAAGAGCAGACTTAAGCCTGCTATCAACCACCCCACTCAACCACCACATCTTGAATTCCGAGCTCGAAGACCCTTTAACTCCAGTCTCGCCTATGACGAAGGGAAGATTATACTTCAGCGCATAGTTGTCATGGATAGGCTTGTAAACCTTCTCAGGCGTCCTGCTGCGGTCTTTCGGGTAAAAGTCCATGCCTATAATATCAACAACGGCAGGCCCAGGGAACCACTGATCTTTATCTTGGCCGCTGTTCGGAGACCAAAACATCTTGACCATCAAATTGTCTTTGACCGCCTCGGAGAGTATGTTCCACATCTGAATGAATTGAACAGGAGTGCCGGTGTAGGTGTTCTTGAGATTGGGGTTACCGCCGTGAAGAGCGGGTCCATCTCCATCTCGAGAATACCAATTCATTTCATGAGCAAAACGTAACCACACAAAAACTCCTTCGTCTGTGAGCTTTCTCATACTCGAGGCGATTTGGGCACAGAGAGCGGGCGTAAAAGTTTCAAAAGGAATGAGAGGCATAATGGTGGCTATCAAAACAGCTTTTGAAGATATTATGTCGCGTAATCGGCTTGGTTCCGTAAATTGGTAATCATCAAACTCGTCCGCAGATGTCACTTGAGAATAGATTCCCATGGTGCTACCTGGTGCACCAACTCTTTCATTCACCAGGCTCATAGACGAACCTATCTTGTCGTCGGGAACCCAACCGAAGGCAATGCCGTTAACAGAGAGACCTTCCCTTGGAAGACCGAAGTCCCTTGGATCGAGCAACGGTTTGTGTTCGGTCAGGTGATGCACGTTGAAAGAAGTCATCGTTTTGAGTTCGAACATGCTGGTTGCAAAGTAAGTTAAGGCCGATACATTCAGAACGATTATGCACACCTTAAAGAAAGTATCGACATGAGGAACATGACTGGTATCAGAATCGATAGACCTGACTTCCACATCGTGAAAGATTACACTTGATCGTACGCTGAGCTTCAGGGAGATGCGTTGCTGTCACACGTCGGAACTATCTCAATATGTGCTCTATCACGCGAATCCTACTTATCCAGATAAAAAAAAAGGGGGTACGTTTCGTCAAGGCAATGATAGCGATTTCAAAGCTGTGGCATTCTAAGCAACTCTAATCCTTGCAGTTGTGACCGTCCAAGCGAGTCTGCAGGACGTCAACGTCAATGCTGAGTATAAATCATGTGTGCGTCGACTTCAAGAATCACTTCAGCATTTGCTCGATCTTCACTGTCCAGCCAGTTGGTATTGGTCATATTACGACGCGCAATATTTGGATTCTTGTCTCGTCACATTTCGATCCTGGCATGCATGGTCAAACACAGCTTACGGCTTAACTGTGCCACAAGCTAGCTCCTTGAATATCGCTTTTCGGTTCTCGATCAATCCTCAATTATGCATCCACATGTTCTGGTATTTGCCACACTTTGCATGCCCTGTCATTGCCAGTCTGTGCACAATCTTGGAACCTCGGGTGGGGGCGGCCCTGAAGGAGGTATTGGGGATATCAGAAACCCAGTTGTTACAGCACAGTCGATCATCACGGATGCATTGGTGCCTAGCACCCGAAATCAGACCCGTCAGCTCTCGTCTGGCCCAGCCCCAGTCCGCCTGAGTTCATTTCCCGGCAAGGATGAAGCCCACCGGAATGTCACCATCGACGTCGCTCGCCAACAACAAGAAATGCTTGGCTTTGGACACTCTTGGACTGATTCCGCTGTCAGCCTGTTTGAGACATTGGAGCCAAGCTTTTTCAACATGGTGATGGAGGATCTCTTTGGGCAAAATGGAAACAATATGGCTTTCATGCGGCACACTGTAGGCTCTTCTGATCTGAGCGATACTTACTACACCTACGATGACAACGGACCAGTCAATCAAGGAAAACCAGATCCTGGCCTTCTCAACTTCTCTCTCGGCGCTGCCGGAACTCGCATGGCTGACATGATCGCCCTAATGGGAGATTACAAATCGGATGTGACGCTCTGCGGCTCTCCCTGGAGTGCTCCCGGATGGATGAAGAAGAATGGCCTGCTAGTCGCTGATGTTCACTGGTCAGATGACGGAACAAACAACATAGCCAACAATTCCTTCGATCCAGCGTATGCCGACGAGTTCGCGAATTACCTAGCCAGATATATTGACGCTTTTCAAGCAAGAGGAGTGAACGTCAATGCGATCTCCCCAATGAACGAGCCACTGAACTCGCAAGGAGGCTACCCTTGTATGTACCTCGGCGCTGAAGACGAAGCGAATCTGATTGTAGATGCCCTTGGATCTTTGATGAAAGAACGGGATGTGGAGATATGGGCGTTTGACCACAATACAGACGCTTCTTTTTACCCTTACCAAGTACTTGAAAAGGCCCAAGAATATGTACAAGCAGTTGCTTGGCATTGCTATGCTCTTCCCGCTCCAGATTACTCTGTTCTAGCAGAATTTCGGAGGCGGTATCCACATATTCCTCAGTTTATGACCGAATGTGCCAACTACAAGCCTCAAGCTGGGACTTTCAACTTCCAAGTTGCTGAGAACTTCATGCTTTCCATCAAGAATGGGGCTTCTGGAGCTACCATGTGGGTGATGGCCACTGACTCCTACTACGGGCCTCACACTCCTCTTGCTGGATGTGACGGATGCTTGGGCTCGATTATCGTGCACTCTCCAACATTATATACCAAAACCAACGATTATTATATGATTGGCCAGTTTTCTCGTTTCATCCGCCGCGGAGCCATAAGCTATGCCACCTCTGATGGAGGAACGGCGGAGGACCTCTCCGATAAAGAACAGTTCTATACTATCGCTGCACAGAATCCGGATGGATCATGGGTAATTGTATTCATGAACAATTACGGGCAAGAACAAAACGTTGTCCTGCAGTTTACAGGTCAGGAGGAGGTGTTTTGGCAAGGTGTGGTCCCAAACGCGACTGTGGTCACCTGGCTCCTGCCTCGCGGTGTAACTTCCCCTGCAATGATGTCTTTCAACGACAAGTTCGGGTACTTGCTGCGCTTAAAAGCTACTTGGATTTTCGTGTTACTGCTTGCGTTGTGTTTTTCTGTGGGAGTATATGCGTATCAGAAGCATAAACGAAGAAGCTCTCGGGGAAAGTATCATTTGACTTCATCTGAAACAAGTAGTGGCTATGAGAGTCACTATAGTATATAGTTGCTAAAGTAATTTTCTTGAATAACTACAGACTTCCATGATCCTATTCGTTTCCATGCTACCCTGGACATATTATAAGTTGACCAAAATCGTCTCAGCAACGCTTGGAATCCCTTCACTGCCAATTGCAAAAAGCATCCAATAACCTGGTATAAGGATACCCGGATCTTTGGGCGTTGTTATCATATACGCCGAGACAGTCTCTTGCAGTAGTTTTGATGCCAAGACGATCCGTCTTTGATCTGTATTTATAGCGTGAGTTGAGGAGCCGTATCGTAGAAACGAAAAATGACCAACTTCCATGTTCGTGGTTACGCGAAAAGAAGATCCGACAGCGATAGTCTTAGTCGAGACTGAAGTGATTGAGGGCCGGGACGACAAGAAACCCTTGGCATTGAACAAGTAAGGGGGCGAGAAGATCTGAATGTCGAAATGGTTGGCCGAAGGATCCTCACAGTAGCCCCAGCAAAGACCTCCGCCTCCAACAAGGACAGTAGCATCTGGGAGAAGGATTGCTGTGCTATGATAGGTGCGAGGTATCGGTGTTCGCGCCATTGGGATGAACTTTTGAGTTTCAGGGCTCCAAAGCTCAGGAATCATTGTCGCGTTGATGTCGGTCCATTGTTTCGCGAACGATGTTCCCCCATTTATGAATACCTCTCCGGTAGGTAAGATTACGCTGTTAGCGTATGCTCGGGGATGGTGCATTGGATTGATTGCCTGAACGCTGGGTGGCACAAACGGCTCTGTCAAGGTGATTATGTGCGCTGAGCGAGTGCTGTAGGCTCCACTGTAACTGGTCGCGCCTCCCAGAGTCAGAATGTGGCCGTGCACGGCATCATACATTACTGCATTTCCATTCATCGCATCAGTATCTCGAGCTCGGTACCCAGCAGCAGCATGTCTTCCATTACCGCTTGTTCCATACCAATTCATTGCGCTTGATGGCCCAGCTTGAAAGACAGAGGAATTTTTCCAACTAAACAGCCAGGGATGATTGTCGGAGCAAAAGACGCCTCGAAGGTCGTTGGTGAGCATAGGAGCTACTTTACACTCGTGAAGCCAAGACCAAGTCCCTGTTGATGGGTCAAAAGCCTCCCCGTCCATGCCGCCGATAGGGCCACTCCAGGATCCTCCAATAGTGAAGGTACGGCCATCAGAAAGTGTTGCCTGTGCATGATAGCCGCGTCCGATCTTCATATCTGGGCCAGAGATCCAGACATCTAGAGTCTCATCATATATGCTCACACGCTGTTCACTCTTTCCACCAGTGACGGTTGGGCGACCACTAACATCCATCGAAAGGCCCGGACAAAACATGTCATGATTTGTGATAGAAACATTGCGTTCAGTGACGATACCAGACATTGGATCGAAAATCGAAGTTATAGTCCTTCCTGGATTGCTTGTATCATTGCCGAAGACATCGCCACGGTCAGCTGCCCACATGAGAACTTTGTGGGACAGCGGGAGAACGACGACGGCAGCAGGGACTAAAGGAACCGGAATCCTTCTTTCCCAGTGCCCAACAAGGCTAGGGCCATAAGTTTTAAAGTTCGATAAAAATGGGAAAGATTTCCTCCTGCTCCACCAGTATAGAGCTAATGAACAAAAGGCAAATGCAACGATAGAAGAAGTTCGTCGAAATAACATGAGTACTATGCAACACAGAAACACGAAAGCAAAGGGCTGTACCAGTAGGGGGTAATCGCGTGAAGCTCGAGACAATGTACCCATCAAACAGTATCTAATTGCAGACAAGCTGGGAGAGAAACATTGAGAAAGTTGTAATTGCAAAAGCGAATATCTCAGGAAAGCATATCATGTGACCAAGTGCTTGACTAACAGCTACACAGTCAGAGAATTGGAGAGAACTATCTCGGTAAGCTATAGGATTGCTTGGAATGGCTACCACTCGTCCCTAGAGGCAAAGGTCAACATTGGCTTACCTCGAAGCTGGTAAAGAACAATAGGGAGCATTAAAGATTACGCACCTCCAGGATTATAGCGACGAGGCTCTGGGCCAAGACCCTAACGTAGCTATCTGTTCGTAACCAGGGTTAAGATGTGTCTGCACAACAGCAGTCTTTTTTTGGTGGCGCTAATTGTTCAGTCATGGTCGGCGAGTTACCAATAAGCGAGACTCTCTCCACGAGCCGCTTTCGCAGCCGTCGTTAAGGTTGCCACCCCAGTCAATATTTGCGAAGTGCAGTATCTACAGTGCCACAGAACCTGGTGAAACTGTTCTGCAGGAATCTCACGACCACCACCTCGTTTTCGTATTCGAACCTATGAAAGTCGTTGATATCGACTCCCTGATTTTTGGGTGTTCCTCTTGCTAGGATCTGTTGCATGAGGATCGCAGTGTCAGTAAGACCCTTCTCCAATCCTTAAAAATGCCTCTTATGAGTCTTATCATAGGATCGGAGTGGCATGCATGAGGTCACGAGCACGAATACCATGATCCATGGTAAGCTGAAGTCAGACACCTTGTGTAACCTCTACTCGAAACAATCCTTAGACCAGTTCTTCCAAAAGAGCGTCAATCTCTGGTGATGGCAAGAGTTGCGTTGATTGGAGTCAGATTATGTAACCTGAAGAGAGCTTTTACTGTCTTTGAAGATTCGCAATAGATCTCGAGGAATCTTAAGAAAAGTGATATATACTTGGACATAACTGGGAGGCTAATAGTGAAATAGAAGAGAACCATCCCATCAGCTCTTTTTATATGCTTCGATCGTTGTTTGGTCGCCGTTTGCGGCTTCTGCCAGTCTTCGCTGCGCTGTTGTTCTCTTTCTTGATGGTTCTTCTCATTCATCCGCATTCACCCATCCTGCAACTGGAATTTCACAAACCTGATATCATTGTTAAAGTCGACCACCCAAGATTATTTGCTTCACGCCATGATTGGACTCTCCTTCCAGGCTCCATCGCTGCTGATCCATATCTTTTCAGCTGGAATCGGACTATATTTGAGAGAGCCTCTGAGTTTTATGTCTTACCACCAGCAAATTACACCATAGATGGAGGACTTGTAGGAAATGGTGTCCTCGATGTGGCCCGAAGCGTCCAACTCCGAATCAAGCATTGGGCGTATGCCTACCAGTTGTCACATGATTCCAAGTGGGTTGACCGGGCCTGGATGGAGATTGTAGTTGCATCGGGGAATTCGACGCATTACTTCGGAGAAGACGGAGATAACTGGAATTCCCAGTAGGTCCTCTTCAGATTCCACGATCTGATCAATCAATTGATGTTAATAGGCACTGGTTAGATGTCGGCGAGTTCATCACTGCTTTTGCTTTTGCATATGACTGGCTGTATGATGCGTGGAATTCGACGCAGCGCGATTCTATTAAGTGGTCAATAGTCACGCTTGGGCTACAGAAGGGCATTGAGGCATACAAGGAAAAAGCTTGGTTTTTCTCAGTCAATGGAAACTGGAATTGTGGGTTGACCAATCCGTTTCTGATGACAACTTGAAGCTGACTTGGCAAGGTACTAGGCGTGACGAATGCAGGCATGATTCTGGGTTCACTTGCAATGTATCATGAAGACTTGACAGGGACCGCCGCCGAACTCCTTTCATTAGCCATTCCCAACGCACAGGAAAACTGCGCTCATGCTATTTTGCCTGATGGTTCATGGTCTGAGACGCCAGATTATTGGTAGAGTTGCTTCTGTACAGTTCCGATCCAAAGCTAAAATCAGTCCAGGTATTTTGGAACTCAATCACATGCACAGATGGCGTCCGCCCTTCTAACTTCTACGGGAAGCACTCAAAGGGTGCTTACAATCAATCCCGCGTGGGAGAAAACCGGGCTGTACCATATTTATGCATCTGGAATGACAGAGAAGTTCAACTTTGGTGATTGTGGTAAGATTTAATTTTGCTAGAAGTTCACCTAGATAATGCTAAATAATGCCTCAGGTCCAAAGAAGATCACAGCTACAGCAAATTCTCTCCTCTTCTACGGAGATCACTTCAACAGTGAGCTTGTATCATACCCCCCGCTACGATATGGCACACTTATGCTTTTCAAGTTCCTGAGTATACTCTCTTCCAACGAGATCGCCCAGACTCGCCAGATCCACTGAGTATGTTTTGGTACAACCCAAAAACAACGGGTAAATGGTTCTTGAGTCCACCATTAGATCATAGCTTCTCCACACCAAGTTCTGCCTGGGTTTCCATGAGATCTTCATGGACGAACACAAATGGAATATATATCGCAATGAAAGCTGGAACAGCAGTAGGGCACCAAGCACGTATGCCATCTTTGGTCCTATAATGATGCATTTGCTAAATTTTGTTCAGATAGCAATATCGATGCGGGAGACTTCGTCCTCGACGCGCTAGGAGAACGCTGGGCAGTGGAGCTGTGTCAAAATAACTACCTATCTCCAAATTACTTTTCTAGCGATGCACAAGAGAGTGATCGGTGGCTCTATTATCGTTGCCGTACGGAAGGTCAGAACACGATCTTGTACAATAATTCAAATCAGGTGGTTGATGCCGTTCCTGGCATTACCTTTGCCAGTACCAACGACGTCCAAGCATCCTTTGGCCACCCACACAACAGCCGCACGAGTACTTACTGGATAACAGACCTTACCAATGTATATGGAGGTGTATCAATCAAGCGTGGCTTACGAATCCTAGATCGACGCAGGCAGGTTCTTATTCAAGACGAGATTGAGAACGCAACAGAGAAAAGTCAGTGGAGGATGCATACCCGTGCATCCATACAGTTCAGCGCAGACAACCGAGTAGCTCGTAAGTTCACAATCGTATGGGAGACCATGATATTGATTTAGTAATCTTAGATCTCACGTTAAATGGAAAATCCATGGTTGTGATATTACAGTCACCTCTAACGGCCTCATTTCATGTCCTGCAACCCGTTCGATCTGTGCATGATCCGCCGCTTCCAAAGCATGCATCAGATGATCCAAATATAGGAATTAGTGTTTTAGCAATTGACATCCCTGCTGGGACTCAGACTGTAGTTGTTTTATTTTCCCCTCAGGAAGAGAACTCTCTCCAAGCCAGCGAACGTCCCACGGTTGTACCATTAAAGCTCTGGACCTTGGACTCACACTTAGATCTTATCACATCTTGAAGTAAATGCTCAAGGTTGATCACATTTTGCAGAAGCTCTCAAAGTGGAAGAAGGTTTGACTGGTGTTCAGAAGCAATACAGCTGCAAACACTATTGAAAACTCCGCCGATCGAGTTAGAATTCAATGATTGAAGTCGCGGGACTTGCTATTTGAGGCGTGTGGGAAGGTGATGATTCAGGTGGAAGTATAATTAGTTTGTTGCGGGACTGATCTCTGGAAACTTCATAACTATACCTAGTAATGGTATATTGAAAAGGGCGGGTGCATGAGAGTGAAGATGGCCTTGGGCTGAAATTCGAGGCGCGGAAATTGAGAGAGAGTATTGAAAATAAAGCTCACAATGACGCTACTCAATTGTATAATGCGACATAAAATCTATAAATACTTTTCATTTCAGTCTGTCTTTTGGGACACTCTTAAACGTAGATTTCGTTGAGCACAACCGAGCTCGTTACCCCGCACTTACCCCGCTATTTTGAAGCTTTTCTTGCAAATGTGAATCGCACACAAAAGCACAGTGGCTGTCACTCCATTGGACCATTCAAGGATACGTTTAGATTCGTTCAGTAACAACAATAAAGATGTAATCATCGTTCGGGGGGAGATAATTGAAAGTGGAGGCTGAAATCCACTGGAGCGCTGGGAGCTTAAGGAGAGGACCGCACAATACCATTTATGTTTCGCATTATTACAGCTCTAAATCCAAAACGAATAAAAGATATTGCTTGAAAGCAAAAGTATCGAGCGGAGTAACGCAGTAGAAGTCAAGGGCTGCAATATTCAACAAGCGTGGCACTGAGAAAAAAAGGGTTGGAGAGTGGCTTTTAGTGGGGTTCGCTAAATCCAGGGGCTTCGCTTAGGGGCTGCTACACTACGGTATTCAGCACGTGCCTGGCTATATTCCCGGTGCCCCCTTCTCAAGTCTGAACATTCTCTCCAGCATTTAAGAATGGTCCCAAGATCCCTTGAAAGAATCCATGTAGTCCGCCTTGCCAATTTGGACGCCCTTCATGCGAAGTATAGCATACGCCGTCTGCAGGTGGAAGAAAAAGCTCGGCATCCCGAAACTAAAGATGAATTGCTTCCCTGTGAAAGTTCCATGCGAGAGTTTGATCTCCGCCGACTCTCTTCCCTCGAGTGCTTTTGGATCGATGCTCTTTAGCATTGCGAGCGTCTTCTCAACACGTTCGATCAGCTGTTCCATGGTCGTCTCATTGTCTTCCCACGACTCCACCTCCGTGCCGATCACCCATTTCAGTGACTTGCTAACAGTGTTGGAAACGGATTGCACTTGAAAGCTGAGGGGCTGCATGTCGTCGATCAATTTGGCGGATGGTAAGGTGTCAGCGTCGGGCTGTAACGCTGCTTTCTTGAGGATGTTCACAAGCGAAGTGACGCCTGCCATGTAGGTGCCAACGCTAACGTCGTAGATATCGATGTCCGACATAGTAGATTAATTTCTGAGTGCAATGGAATTTTGGAGAGAACAAGTGCTGCTCAAAGAATTAGCGAAACCTCCCGACCAAGCTCCTGTTCTCGTTGGGACGACTCACAGACGCTGAACACCTGCAGTTGCGATCTTTGTGGAGGTGTCTCTTTCGCTTAGTCAAGAATCGAGCAATACCTCGTGGGGATTGGCTGCGGCTTATATACCTGAGATACTCGGAAGACTCCCGTCCCGAAGCCTGCTGACAAACTCAGCTGTGTTTCAGGTGATGTACGAATTTTGTTCAACTTGCAAAGAACAATAAAGATAGGCGCGCCTTTTCGGTCGCTACACTAATTGCTGATGAGCGGCTGAATTCACTTAAGATCCTGTATAAAGACTCGATCTGAATTCATATCTCCTGTCAACGAAGCCACTCTTGGAATAATTGATGATGTCTGTTCAAGCGCAAGTTCTATTCTGCCTGCAGTCCAAAATATGTCTCAAGAAATGCTACATGAGGTCACGTGCTTTCAACAGCTATGAAAGCTGAGCGACTGTCCGAGCATCATCTTATCTCTTATGTTCATTCCCAGGTCCCCCATTCAATGAATCGTTCATTTACTTCGTAGCTGCTTCTTCAGTCGCCGCCGTACTTTCCCTTCGTCTCCTCTGGGTCTGGATGTATCTTACTCAAATCAGGGTGTCTTGCGCTACTTAAATCCCACATTGCCCTGTCGTCAGCCAGTTCAATGAGCGCATCATAATCTTTGCACGTGTGCATTTGACCCCAAGCAGCCGACGCTGGCCAAGCTCCCGTTTCACCTTCAAGTGAAGTATCTGCGTGGCACAAAATTGCCTGACGGAGGTACTCGATACAATGTGAAGTGTGTTCTAGTTGAGGTCGAGTGAATTGTCCGAATTCTTCGTACGATGTTCCGAGACGAGCTGTAAGAATAGACTTTGAGACCTATTAGCTTTCGTTCTGATTTATCCAGGGAGCGATACGTACCAAGCAGTGCAGTTGATGGAAGACACTCAGGATGTAGCCCTCATAATGATCGTCTGGTGCCATGAAGCCATCAAGATGGTAAGGTGGGTTTCCATATTCAAACTCATCTCCTGGCTGAGGTATAGCAGTGATATAGCCTCTGCTCTTTGGGTAAAGGGCTTGCCAATTCTCGTGCAGTTCTCGTTTGTGTGTGGCATTCCACAGCATCTCGTGATCGACGTAAACCAAGTCGGGACCAAAACCTGCAACATTTCCGAACTTGACAACACGTTCTGGCACTTCGAGGGAGTCAGATCAAGTTATAATGTGATGGATAGGAACTCTCTGAAAGTTAAGAGAAGAGGAGACGCATACATGCAGGCCCAAATGTTTTGACTTTGCTTCCACTTGATTTTCTCCATGAGCCAGTGTCGTGGGAGGCGAGGACAGCGACAAGGACTAGTATCAACCCTCCCATTAGCGACTCTGCTACAGCGCGGAAGCTCACAGCTCTCAATCGTTGGATGATGCCATTCCTTCTTTTGAGACTCAGTTGTTCTGAGATGAAGCCAAGCTCTTCTGAAGATTCGAGAGATCTTGAACCTTCAGAAGATGGCCGGACTTTCTCATAGAGGGGCTCCATTGTTTCAAGGTTGTTACTGTTTAGAATTCAGACTTTGATAATCAAATGCGAAAATACAATCCCTCAAGATGGGTGTAGATTTGAGGTGAAATCGGTGCTTGGGCTGACTTGGAACAGATTGGAATTGGGAGGTCGAGTTGACTTGGAACAGTTGATCCAGTTGACCGCTCTTCTTCTCCTTCCAAATTAATTGGTTACGGACGAAGGTTTTCTGATCGTCAGCTAGTAATTGGTTTGCGTCGTGGTCCCGGCCAAAAATTCTATCTCGATGTTCATATTGGATGGGTCTTCTGCACGTACTGGCTTCCGTTTCGAGCCTGACTACTGTCCGCTGTCAGAACTAAGTAAAAAGCCGGAATCGGCAAGATACTAGTGCGATAGTACGAACGAGACCTATCAAGCGTCATCCTTTGACTAGCACGAAGTCGTGATAATATTTCCGTCAGCACAGGTGCATTATCTTAACATGACTGTAGTCAGCAGACGAGCTTGTGCCACCATGGCGCGTGAATTGTCGCTTCCTCCGAACAAAATTGACGGGGAATTTGAACAAATCCCATCCTTTGAGGCTCCACTGGATCTCCGGGAAGCGAATGTTCGGGAAAGATTCAAGGATGCAGCACCTTCTGCAATAAGCAATGCAACATGCGTCTGAACCCCTCACTAGTGGACCCCGCATGCAGGCGGATAACGACCCCTGCCCTACACGTAAACTAAAATAGAGTTTTCACTATTCCGCAGCTACAGCCAATCTCACGTCTATGCTCTCCCGAAGCTATTCTATGCGCGTAAATGCAGGTTGTAATGCCATGGATCGGCACCCTTGCAATATTTACGGCAAAATTTACGAGTAATTGCACCCGCCTCCATAGCTGAGAGGACCGATGAATGACTTGATTTCAAACAAGGATAGGTCTAGTTTCTCACTAAGATCCGAAAGGAGAAATATTTCGGTTAGGCTGACCGGCTTCTCTCTTTCTTCAAATGTATGCTTATTCCAAATTACACCGCCGCACTGGCCATGGTTACTGTCCGTTCAGGTGGGGTGCGATAGACCTATCATCCCTTTACACAAGTGACACTAAATTTCTCTAGCACTTACTGATGGGCAGGAATCCATAGCTCGGACCGATATTTTAACCAAGACAAGCGTTCCGGGAAAGGCACTAATAAGGTACAAAGTTGAAAGGGTAAATCCTTCCGAAGAATCAAGCTAATGGACCGGGAACTATACGTTTCATTCCAATGAGCTCCGTTCTCGAGACTCAATGTAACCATTGGCGAATATTCCCATCAATGCATGCATGTCGGAGGCACAAAGGACGTATCCTCGAATGCTCGGTCTGAAAACCAGCGGTTAGCTTGCGTTAGCTGTATCCATGTAGACCATATGTCAGGTTTCATGTAAAGCAATGGACATATGTCCCGCAGCTTCGGTAAGTGCAAGGCGAAGGCAGTACAGAGTAGGTGAGCCGAGGTCTGAGTGGTAGCTTCGTCAGCTCAGCAATGGTAGTAGCGCGTAGGGTATCAAACGGTGTCCCACGTTCACTCTCCAAAGAATTTATCCTCAGTACGAAGGAGAACGTTGAGCTTCAAAAATCCAAAATCCTCATGTGAGCCTTGATCTTTTGCCATTACTTCAAAAGCTGACATGGCAACAGCTTCTTCCATAGCAATGGACTGCCATGAGAAACCCTATATAGAGGAAAGAGACGATGACTCGGACGTTTCTCTACTTCGAGGAAGTGAAGATGGACAATCACCTAAACGTTCTCCCCAAAAGCCATACGTTACAATTTTAAAGTATGTACTGGCAGCCTTTATTGGAGGTCTTGCTGCTTCAACCATCTGGGCCGCTTTCTGGCCTCTTCGCTCCTGTCCTGTTCCTCTATCAACAGCAGAACCAGAAAACGAAGTTTCACCAGTACTTCAATGCGGCAGCACTCCAGCAGAAGCTCGTGCCAATGGCTGCAAACTCCAAACCTGGAGCTACACATGGGTTCCTGAGCCATGTTTCGATCCTGAGTTGGCGGAGGAGTTTATTGCAATTCATGAGAAAGACGACCTGCCATACTACGCTGACAGGAATGGCACTGAAGTTGTGGATTTCGATACTGTGTATACAGGCGAGCTGGAAGTTCTTTACACGGTGTGGGGATCGCATTTTTGGCATTGCGCATTTTTGATGAGGAAATTCTACCGGGGACAGGCGGGATTGACTGTGGCGAGTTTAGATTATGAGCATGTTGAGCATTGTCAAATGTGGTTGACTGACCCATTTCGGTATGACTGGAGGCGGGTCAATACAAAGGCTGTGTTGTATTATGGTAGCTGTGATGCCAATGGCTTTGAAATTTTCGCGGGAGAGAACTTTGAGACCATAGAACAAGAATGAGAAATAACATGATTGATTCAGATCCGCATTTGAACCAATTTCAACTTTTGTGTCTATGAAAACACGTGCCATCGTATATAACTTGACTTTGAAATTCTCACCGATGTTCCGATGGCATGGCTTAGATAAGAATTGTCAACATATCTATACCTATTTCTAGACTCGGCTGTAGAATCAAAGCTGAATTTTTCTTTCTTTGTTTCTTGGGTTTCGAAAAATACTTGGGGTAGTTGTTGATTCTACGGGTTTGTGCTGGTGCCACTCCAAGCTTATAATATGAATAGCTCACATCACACTTTCTTATAGGTAAGAATTGCCCATAGTAAAGTCACTTAAGAACGAAAGGTGGTCTGCGAGGTTCATCTCAAAAACTCAATTCAAGTACCTAAAGAATGTAACCGAGCATCTTGACTAACTACCTGAGCTGCCTTTCCATTCTTCCTCCATTTCTCCCATTCCATCCCGGATTCCCATGGAGCAAATCCGTTGAAGCTTCTTCTTCTTCTTGGAGTGTCAGCTCCAGTTTCGGTACTAGGGGAATTATTTCTACTTACAACTCCAATTTTCACTTGGACTCGACAATGTCTTCTTCAATGACTGGGTAAGCAGCCGTGGAATCGGTTCCCCTCTTCTCCTTGGTCTCGACGATGTCCTCTTCGATCACGGGATAAGCGGCGGTCGAGTCTGTCCCTCTCTTCTCTTTCGTCTCAACGATGTCTTCTTCGATGACAGGGTACGCGGCTGTGGAATCCGCTCCTCTCTTTCCTTTGCTTTCCACAATGTCTTCTTCAATGACGGGATAAGCTGCGGTAGAATCCGTGCCTCTCTTCTTGGACTCAACAATGTCTTCTTCGATCACGGGGTAAGCTGCGGTGGAATCCGTGCCCCGCTTGATCTTGGCTTCAACAATATCTTCTTCAATGACAGGATATGCGGCTGTCGAGTCTGTTCCCCTGGCGCGAATGACACCTGCCGAAGCGTAGGCGACAATAGTAGCACCGATGAAGAATAGAGAGGCTCTCATTTTGGATGAAGGTGAGATACAGTGAAAGGGTTGAAAGCTTCTGAGGTTTCTTGTGAGAGGGTTGAGAATGAAGGGAACTCAAGACTCTGGAGTGATAAATGAGTAGGTGGCTTGATTTTGTGAAATGAAACAGTCGAGGAACTCACTTAGCACTATTCGGTTTAGTAGACAAGTCCAAGAAAACCTTGACCGCTACCTGTGAGTAAGCTGCATATCAACGGGTACACGTAGATTGTCATTCAAATATCCAATGAAGCGTGCAATACATGATGCAAACGCTTGCTTAGAAGAACTAGGTATTCTGATCCACCTTACCATAGCTCCGGATGAAGAGTGGAGAGCCGGAAGCATGTTCTCGTGAGCTTGAATAGGAAGGTTCCATGAGCTCTGCCGCTGCCTTGATCATGCTGAGGGGTCAAGAAATGATATTCCCATCAGTAAACTTGCAGATATCTCGACCAGGGTACAAGATGCCTCTTGTTCAGACCGACTAGCACAGACCCCGGATTAGAAGCTAAAATGAATATTGTTGTCGGCAAGTGCCAAGCATTTTAGGGAAACTGCGCCGACATATAAGCTTTGTGGTAGCGAGCGGCGAGGCTTATACAAGGCACAGATGAGCGAGCGCGCAAATCATGGTTCGCAGCGCTATTTCTGCATGGAGTCTCTCAGACACATCATCTGCACATACCGAGTGAGCTCTTTCAATGGTAAGCAGCCCTGTGTTCTACCGCAGAAGAGGGGTCCTCTGCCCCCAGGTGCGTATTCGCTTAGTCGAAGATCGGACTTTGATAGGCATTTCATGTTTTGGGATCTTCCCGATTTTCCCACTACGCCCTGAAGAATTTGTAGCTCCCTAGGTGCAGGAAGGATTCTGGCTTAAGTCGGGATCGACAGCAAGGATATTGTGACTAGTTGACTTCGATTGGGCAAATACAAGGCCGTGAGATCTTGGCAGACAAAGTTAAGCGAGTATACGAAATGCGAGATTTAGTCGCTTACCCAACTATAATACAGGCCCGTGTGAGCTTATGTGTTGCGGGGCACTTGCGGGGCACTCGATAAGCTGTATAGGGAAGGGTGGGGCAGACTCCACTTCCATGTCAAGAATTACCACTGTTGTAAAACTTTGCCGGGTAATTATTTTTAGTGTAAAATTGGAGTGATTGTGTCCCCCTGACTTTTGTTCGTGATCTACCCGCTTCGCACGGGCTACTTCTTCCCAGAAACACGATTACATAGCACGGAAGTTCAAGGATACTCAGTAAAAGATTCCATTTCAAGGTTCACTGAGATATGTAGTCTCTCGCTCAAAGTCCATCACCACATGATACAACCCAAGGCATACCAAATCCCAAGTCTTCAAAAGAAAGAATCACGAGTGAAAATTTCTGTAGTATGATCAAAGCTAGAATCCGTGAACAATCATGATCTTAAAATCAAGTCCCATGATATGCCGATCTTTAAATTTACTTCAACTTCTCACACCAATTCCAATGGCATGACGCCAAGAGGATTGCGGCGACAGAAGGGTCTTCCAGCATGAGCAATCGAGGCCACTTCCGAAACAGTGGGATCAGCCCAAGTAAGCAAGTTCTTTGTGCAGTGGACAGTGTGGTCCTCTTCCTATGCAATGAATTAGCACTATAAGATTCCAAAGCTGAAATGCGAGTAACTTACCATCAAATCATCATCCAGAGGCAGATTGTTAAGTAGAGAGTGGTGCATCTTTCTCCAAAGATACAGACAGTGGATCTTATGGAAATTATAGAGAGGATAAAGGAGTTCGAACTCCCCATGTTGAGCAATCTCAGCTGGAACTTCGATCGTATGTTCAAAGTCCGAAAACCAAGTGAAGTTGGTTCCCGGCTCCATCATCATCGCATCAAACGATTCCTTGTCGAAGCATTCCGGAGCGTACCACCGTGAAGCCATCTTATCGTAGATGCAACCCAGAGCCTTTGCTTCTTGCCACGAATCACCGCATTGCGTGCCTTCGATGAGTTCGCCGTTGACGACCTTGGTGGCATAGTAGCCGTCCCTTGAAGCAACAGGATGCTTCTTGGGGAACATGGAGGATTTGAAGGCCATTGGCAGGACGACTCCGAAAGCGAGTCCGCCTACGAATGCCAGAAGGGTCCTGAGGCTGAAGGTTTTTCGTTTCTTTGGGGTGAGGATCTCCTCGTCGGTGCTCTCATTGTCGAATTCTTTGTCTTCGACGGTCTTGTATTCCAATCCGGAATACTTGAACCAAGGTGCCATGATTGATGATGTGAATTTGGATAGGTGTTGTAACGATTTGGTGTTGTGGGAAAAGTCGTTGAGGTGGGAAGCTCAGAGTATCCGAAAGATATGAGGGAGGATGGAAGTGAAACTTGAGGTTGGAAAGTTCTCGATTAGGCATAATTCCCGAGGCAAAGAAAGGTAAAATGAGCAAGGGTTTAAATACTACGCCCCTCTGCCAAGTCTTTACTGGGAGCGTCAGCAATGACTTAGCTGCAGCTTATACCGAGCTAGCTCCTAGAATCCGGTTCGGGTTGGATACTACATTGGGCTCGCAGTAGTTGCGGACGTAACTGCTAGTAGAGCGGACGAACTATGTCTCAGCAGGGAGCACATAAGCCCTTGGCATTTGAATTGAGGGAATTTTTGAGCTGTCATGTGAGATCGGAAGGGGAGCTGTTGGTTGGTTGGTTGTTTCAATGCCATCTTTTTCATCTCAGAGGAAAGTCCTCGGGAACGAGGGAGATTTAGTGACATGATTACACGGAAAGAGAAGCTTCATTTTCTAAAGTTTGGCTTGGTGCAATCCCTTTAATTACCAATTGGATCCCTTCTCTCTATTCAACAATCCATGTCCAATACAGTAATGTGATCAAATTGCTGATATGTCTGCTTCACAAAGATCGAAAAAAAAATCATCAATTCTCATATCCATGCTCCCCAAATTCGAATTCCCCATAGAAGCTATCCAAATCTAGATAAACCGAGAGATCACCTGACTTCAAGTCAGTTCTCCGTGTTCGTGTCAAACCTAACGCCAGATACGGTGCCCATACCATAAGGGACTTTGCGACCCCATACATCTCCACAGTGCAGGATATGTTCCTCTGAATCGGATCTAGGGTCTAGGATCTTGCCGTTGAAACGGAAACGGTGTTCCTTTCTCCAGTAAAACAAGCAGTGAACCTCGTGCCAGCTGTAGTCCATGTGGAAACGGGCATCTGGTGTGTCTCCCATCCATTGAATCTCTTCTGGAGTAATTGGGATCGTGCGCGCTTTGTCTTTCCAATATAACCACTGTAGATATATCAGTCATGGGTACTTTAAAGTGTGGTGTGCGAGGACTTACAGTTCCGTTAGGTCCATCTCCCGAACGGTCAAACTCAGCAGTCAAATCATCGTCTCGACAATGCTCTGGCAACCATGCAGCAGCGAGAGAGTCGTACTTGCAACCCATAGCGATTGCTTCAGTAGAAGACTTCCCGCAATAACATCCGTGATGAACAGGAGGATTCAAGAAAGGAATCTTCCTGACGACGGTGTTGAAGATGTTGATGAAACCCCAGATTGCTAGCAAGGTGACAACTGAGACCTTGATCATCTTCAACACTCTGGCAATCCTTGTACGAGATTGAGCCTTGAGGACATCATTGTATTCAGCTCGCTCAAAGGACCCTTCTGAGCCACTTTCGACTTCATCTGGGCCGAGCTCAACTCTGCAAATGCTTTAGCAAGTTGGTTTCGATGAAGAATGATGATACAGACTTTCGATAATCACCGTACATATCTACTGCCTTTCGTGACAAATCTTTCGTGGCAGATCGAAAGATGAAAGTTTATCTGTGGGGAGCTTGTTTGGCCTTGTTTGGTTCTGTATGAATGAAGGATGGCAATGCAATGAAAGGAGACAGCTCTTGGAACATACGAGTGATGGACTGACTAGTACCTTTTCGGAAGAAGACTGGATTACATTGTAAACTCAGAATTATGGTAAATTCGTAAGCCAGGTCGATTATAGTAAACTAGTGTAGTCAAAAGCTTCGACCCTGACCGCTCGTGGGATCCCCGCCGCTAGACAATCTTGCATGGAACCATGGGAAAATGTTTCAAGGATAGAAGGTCAATGCAGCTTTCCCTCGGCCCGATCTAAGAAGTCTGCCGAGAGCTTATCAAAGTTGACCCCGCAGCTGCATGGGAAGGCTGACTGCATTGGTGGGATTTTTGGCTGCTGAACACGACGCATCCACAAGCCGTGCCGCACACGCCTTCCGCAGGCGGGCGTCGTGGTTCGTGAACCTAAAATTCATGGCGGAATATTCAGGAAGGTGTCGTGAGAATGCGATTAGGTGAGCCCAACGACTAGTTGACTTACTACTTGGCAAGTGAGCGCTTCCTCGTTTTGTACTGAGAGCCTGAGGGAAACCACCGGGCCCAACTTCCATGACACTGTCTATCGTGGGTTTCAATGCCATCACCAACTCATTATTTTTGAACTTCACGGACGCTGAATCGCGTCCTCCTTTACACGCATAATAACATCGACCATGGAGAAAGATGAAGAAGAAGCACCATTTTTGCCCAGGTCCAGCTCAAGCGACGATGCTCTCACAACAGAAACGCTCCGCGATCAATCTTTTTACATGCGAAGAATATGGTGGGCAACAATAAGCTCGATATTGGCTGGAGCGACACTTGCCTCACTCCTCTGGCTGATAGCTTGGATACATCACTTTGAAGTCGATGCTGAGCCTTTTCTTCCTCCTTCCATGACAACGACCAGCTGCGGATGGACGTACGACATGGCTGTCGCCAACAACTGCAAGTTCCAACTATGGTCGTACAGTTGGGTGCCTCCTGACTGCTTCGATGAAAAGCTCAACGACGATTTCCTGTCCTTGCACGAAGAGGAGGGTTGGGGATATTATAGCAGCGGGGTAGAGGTGCCATTAGAGTCTGTGCTGTTAGGAAACCGGAATGACTTAATGTCCACTTGGGGACAGCACTTTTGGCATTGCGCCTTCTACCAGAGAAAGTTCTTTCGCGTGGTAGAAGATAATGGAGGGGAGAGGACATCAGTTTTGAAGATGACGAATCGTGACTTGGAGGAGCATCATGGAATACACTGCCAAGAATGGCTCTCGAATCCAAAGAGGTACCCATGGGATAAGGTCAATATCAACTTGACAGTGGGTTATCATTTTTGTTCATAGCAGTAGCAATAGAGCACTCAAGGCATGCAAACAGAACAGAACGTACTCCAAAACATGAAACACTGTAATGCGCAGGAACATCTCAAACGAAAGCTCACCTTATTCTCCTTCCACATCATGGGCCGTGTTTTCTACCTTAAAACAATACAGCCGTTCACTCAATTACTCACAAGCTGCCCAATGGTGGTATTACCTAGGTAGGTATGCTCCCCAAGTCGCTTTCACGTGACTGAAAGCTGCTGAAGGATTCGCTCCTTTATCTCTACAAATAGAGCATCAACATCCCGAGTCGAGTCGACCAATATGATATCCTTCTCTTCCTCCAGGGGCTCTTGAATATCCTCAATCTTTTCTCCCATGATCCTTTCAGCCAGTTCGGGTTCTTCTGCACCCAGCGTCCTTCCAGACAAGGTCTCTTTCGTAATGTTTAAGATAACGAATATGGATCTGATGGAGTGCGCCATCATGACATCTCGAATAGCATCTCGTGCTGGTTTGCGCATCGCATAGCAAGATATGAGCGCCGTACACTCTGCCCCCAATCTCCTGGGAGCTGTTGTCGTCTTTCCTGGAGCTTCGACCTCTCCTTCGCCATCAGACTCATATCCATCCGATAAGAAGCCAATCCGTCGCAACTTAGAGTACCAGATCCGTCCAAAGACTTCTCCGTAGTTGAGGCCTCGCTTTGCTTGAGAACGAGCTCCGAACGTTGCTGAGTTGTGTACCATCTCAGCTTTCAACCACGGGCAGCCTAACGAATTAGATAAGGACACTGCGAGGGTCTCTTTGCCGGTGACATGAGTGCCGGATAGAAGCACAACATAGGAGGAGTGGGGATCTTGTTCTGGTGATTCAGACATTACTCATGTCATCAGGGAAGGACAAACAATTTCAACGTCTGAGTACGAAATGTGAGGATTCGTCAATTGTTGCCGCGAAATCCTGGATTGAGTACAGGAGGAAGTGAAGTTATCATTCCTCAAGGTAATGATGTTGGACTCGACTAAACAAGTGAAGAACCGAAGATGATTAAACAAGTTTCATATACAGCCTCCCGCACAGCCACTCTTCAGCCACCAGGCGTATGTAATTGAGCACCACGTGAAAGGTCACATGGTACCATACCTATCTCAAAAGTTTCCGTCTGGAGGTCCACCTTTCTCGAACATGGTTATAGCCAAAGGAAATAAGAATATAACGAATATCTACATTCTCTTCAATTCAAACATCTCTACATCGATGAATTTTGCATCTCACAAGTTCAAGGTCGTGACTGTGCCCCGCTCTTCCCCGATAGCCGACACGGGAGATCTGTACCCCGCCATTTCCATCGTCATTGTCGACCATTCATCCAAGTCCCTCGTGGTCCAGCGGTCACATCCCATTTACCCTCTCGGGCTGATATAGAACGAGGAACACGCGATAGTTTGTCCGTAACCCTATACGACCAAGTGTCGGCCTTATTATTAATAAATGATCTGCAAGGTACATGATCTTTTTTTCTTGTTGTCTGCTACATATAAATTACCCCGCCGCCATGCTTCCTCGTCGGCGCGGAGCCTCCAGACACTTCTCTGTGCGACGAAATGCGATTGATGATGATGGCTAGAAGGATGTTTGATCTCCTGGCGTTGGCCAGTTTCTCCAATTCGTTTGGATATGCCTGGGGAGGTTCGGACGCCATTGTGGTGAGTGGGAGTCCACCATCAAATACCAGCGCACCCATCCCGGAAGCCTTTGTCAGCTTCTCAATTGAGTTTGCCTACTTCCCCGATTATGCTGGTACGACTTCAATTGCTCTGCCTCATTTGTCTCAATTCTGACGATTATCAGGAAACTCATCGTCGCCAAATACATTCTCAAACAATCTCCTGAACAATCTGGGAGCTCTCACTGGGACGAAACCATATATCAGAGTTGGGGGCAACACGCAAGATTATGCTCTGTACAATGCAAGCTTGAAGGAGGCGATGAATGGGACCATCAATCCCGCGAGATCTGCAGACTACCCGACGACAATCTACATTGGACCGTCGTACTTTGATTCCTACAATACGTGGCCAGGCACGAAATTCATTCATGGATTTAATCTAGGGCTTGGGGGAAACAACACCGCTGGTTGGGAGACATTGCTCGAGACTGTCACACTCGCATGTAAAGCGCTTGGTACAGAGAAGTTGCTGTGGTGGGAATATGGAAACGAGCCAGATCTCTATTCAACATCCGCTCAAGGACCGGTCCGACCTGCATCATGGAATGAAGCGGAGTACGTCGCTCAATGGCTGAACGGTACCCGTGCAATCAAAGATCAGCTCGCTATAGCATGTCCTGAATTGACCACGAACGACACATACGGCTACATTGCGCCATCGTTTGCGGGGACCAACAATCACCTCAAATATTGGACGACGTGGCAAGACGGGTTAAATACGGACCACGACATCAAGCTCATTTCATCTCATAAGTAAGTCGTCTCCTTCGTGGATCAGCTCAAGTCTCACAACCACAGTTATATCGGCGGGGCAACACAACCGGGTGTCACTCTCCAAGGCACACTCATGAACCACACCTCAACAGTCCACTCAATCAGCACCCAAGTCAACGAATCGAACTATCTCTCTTCATACGGAATCCCTTTCATCCTTGGCGAAACCAACAGTCTGTACAACGAAGGGGCACCGGGCCTCTCGAACTCCTTCGGAGCCGCGCTCTGGGGCATCGATTTCAACCTCTGGTGTGCATCTGTCGGTATCCGACGCACACACATGCACATGGGCACCGACTACCGCTATGCCAGCTGGCAGCCAATCCAGACGAACAAGACGGCCATTGGGACGAAGCCGCCTTATTATGGGAACATAGTCGTTGCTGCGATGATGGGCAATTTGGTTGAGAACTCCGTTCAGATCGCAAATATTCCTTTGGAGAATGAGCGAGAAGCTGCGTATGCTGCTTATGAGAAAGGGACGTTGGCTAGGATTGCGGTTGTGAATATGAGGCAGTATAATTATACCGTGAATGGGACCAGTGATGTGTTGAATACGGTGCCGAGACCGCAGCAGGAGTACACTTTCAAGATTCCGGATTATTGTTCGAGAACGGTTTCTGTGCAAAGATTGTATGCGAATGGAAGTGATGCGATCAGTGGAATCAGCTGGGATGGGACGAGTTATAATTGGGAGCTGGATGAGGGGAAGCCTGTGAGGTTAGACAACGTAACTATTGGCGAGGAGACAAGGGCAGCGGGAGAATTTGTCAAAATTCAGGTACCAGACTCGACAGCTGTAATTCTTAATTTTGGGAAGCAAGGAAGCTGGTAGAATCCAGACACAAATTGTTAATGAAATTGTAATTGATGCCTCCCTTCTGATCTCGAAAGTCCTTCACAACGTAACGACAATCTTCTTAGCTGAAACGCCCTTCTTCTGAACCTCGAATGCCTCCTGGATCTTCTCCAACCCATTCCCGACAACCACCGCCTCAGGCATACAAAGAAACTTCCTCTCCTTCAGTGCTCTTGGCAAATACTCCCCATAGATCATTTTCCCCACCTCGTTAGTCTTGAACTGTTCTCCAGTCACAAACTTAGCCTCCACGCCCTCGGGAGCCAACTCAGCAGGACCATGCATAGCCATCGCGGCAAACTTCCTTCCCTCACTCCTCTTCACAATCTCCAAGCATGCTTCTCCGGCCGAGAACCCATTGCGATCAGATGTCGGGGCACCAATGGCATAAGCGCCCGCTATCGTCTTGCCCTTCAAGGCTGCAACAATCTCTTCCACAGCCGTAGCACTATTATGATCAAAGACCATCTTCGCCCCCAACTTCTTAACCATCTCAAAATTCTTCGGCGAAGCAGTAGAAAACACTTCATACCCCGCCGCCACAGCAAGTTGCACCGCATTGCATCCCACGCTCGTACTCCCACCCCAAATCATGACCGTCTTCCCCTGCTCCCTCGGCTCAAAAGAAGGGAATTCCAACCCCAAAAACCTCTTCTCAAACAGTCCACACGCCGCAGTCGCCAAACAAAGCGGCAGAACAGCGGCCTCCTCGTACGGAATCTCATCCGGAATCTTACACACCATATTCTGCTGCATCACCACATATTCCTGATACGCGCCCTCGACGGGATTGTTATGCTGCCACGCCAAACATTGGCCGACGACGCGGTCGCCGACCTTCAAGTTCTCGACGCCGGGGCCGAGCTCGACGATTTCGCCCGAGATGTCGGAGCCTAGGATGAAGGGGAGTTTGAGCCAGGGGAAGACGACGGCGCCGCGGAAGGGGATGGCGGCGTCGACGGGGTTGATGGATACGGCGTGGGCGCGGACGACGATTTGGTTGGTAGAGGGGAAGGTGTAGGGTGCTTCTTTGACGACGAGGGATGGGTTTTCGTAGGTTAGGAGCCAGGCTGCTTTGTTGGTTGGTGGCATTTTGAGGGAGGTTTGAAGTGTTGTTTTTGAGTGATGGTTTCGAAGGATATGAGGCTGCAGGCGAGGAAGTTGGAGAGTCGAATCGAGTTTATATGTGAGGAAGTGTGACGAAGACTGACGTTGAGTACAAAGGATTAATTTCATACTACCCATAAACCGTATAGCTAAATCCGTTATTTAGAATTAAGTCCGTTCTGCATACATCTCGAGATCTAAGGTGTGTTATTGTGTATTCCGACATGCTAAGAGAGAAGTCCGGTGTGAAGTTGTGAATACGACTGGGGGTTAGTGTGAAGCCATCGGCCAATATTATTGGTTGGCCCATCGAAAGTGGGTCAGCTCGAGAAGCGTAGGGTGAGGTAACTCGAGCTCTTCTCCGGCTTAACTCTATGAATCCATTGATGAAACACACTTTGCAGCTCTCTGGAATCATGTGCTCGACAAGGAGCTGGCCTCTAAAGTGTTCTCCTTGGATTTAAGTCAATTGCTTTCAGAAAGTGTCCATAGAGACGGCAGAAAACTTGACTTGCATTTTCTTCTTGCGCAAAGTACAACTTATGCCTCAGAACTCTGAGCATCAGCTCCCATCGCATCCTTCCTATCTTGCAGCTCTCTCTCAGCCTTTGTCACGTAAGGTGGGATAGATTTCAGAACAACCGGTATCAAGACAGCAGTGACTGCGGCAAAACCCAGACACCCCGCAGTGACAGCCCATCCAAACGTATAATGAGGAGCTGTAGAACTCGGCCAGAGTCGACTTCCGAAAACCGACGACAGATTAGCAACCGAATTGACCAGCGCAAGGCAGACTGCTCTCTTCTCGGCTGGGATGTTGATGATTTCGCTCATCCATGCAAAGACGAGGGGAATCGAAGTCCAGATCCCCGACACCACAAAGCAGAGCATGATATAACGCACTATGGGATTGGTGACGATGACACAGACCACAGCTGCGCTACATGCCAGAGCCAAAGAAATTGTGACATGCCACCTGCGTTCTTGGAGACGATCTGCCGAGACAGCTGCGATATTGAGGAAGATTGCAGCGATGATGTATATCGGGATTGTCATGTATTGAGCTGCGACTGTTTCGTACCCCAATGCCACAGTGATCGTTGGAATGAAGAACTGGATTGTCGCCGCACCAATGATGCAAACACAAATGAACATAAACAAGAATGTTCGATAATCAGACACAGTTGCTACAAATGCCTGCCAGTGGTTGAGCCTGTTCCCGTCATGATGAGAGCTAGATTCCACGCCTGCTGCCAGGAGTCTGACAGTAGTCAGTTGACGCTCTTCCAGTGACAGAGTAGGTGATGTTGATGGGAAGTCAAATAGGATGAACTTGGCGACGATGGCAACACATACTGTGGCTACTCCTTCGATGATGAAAAGCCAGCGCCAGGAAGAAATTCCGTGGAAGTCAGCTATCTTCTGAGTGATTGCACCAGCTAGCAGTCCACCGAAGGCGCCTGCGAGAACTGCGGCGCTGAAGAAGATTGCGAATCGTTTCCCAATTTCGGCGGGTTTGTACCAGCAATAAAGTAAATATAATACTCCTGGGAAGAATCCAGCTTCGATGCATCCAGGACGAACCGGAAAGCGACCAATTCCCTGTAGGTATGGATACCAGCCATGGCAACTAAGTTCAGAGTCAGTGATGTCTGAAGGACTTTAAGGAGCTGAAGGGTGAAAGTAGTGGGTTTTCTGGCATGGCGTGAAGGAGATAGTGACGGCACTTCCAAGAAGAATATCTGAGCATACCACTGAGAGCACCCCAAACCAACATGATAGCTGGGAGAAATATCGAAGGACGGGACCTCCATCATCAAATAACCAACAAAGAACACGCTGAGCGCCCATGCAAACTGCGAGTCATCGAGACCCAGATCCCCGGGCATACCGGCAATCTTTGCATTGCCGATGTTCGTCCTGTCCACAAAATTCAGAATATACATAACCCAGATAATCGGCATGAGTCGTAGATCGATCTTCCGCAGAAGTTTCTTCTCCTCGTCGGTCTCGGGGATGTCTTTCTGAAGTGCTTCTTGGATGTTGACATCTCCCCCAAATACTGAGTTTTTGGGTGATGCATTTTCCAGCAGCAGAGTGCGTTCGTCCGTCATCGTGCGAAGTCAAGGCGAAGCTAGTATCCCGGGATCGATCTACCTAATCTTGAGAAGAAGGATTTAGACGGAGAAGTAGTCGTTATCTGCATAAATTCGATGTCGCGGTGAGAATAGGCAACTGAGACAGCGGCCCCCACGCTTTGACCCACAGTGATGCCGGGTAGCTAGCTCTGAAGGACAAACTCTCCAAGCCTGAAGGAAATTATGAAATCAATAGATGGTAGTTCTTCAAGCTGCTCCGAGTGACAGCGTAACAGGAGTTAGAAAGGACTGCGTAGAAAGACGCGATGGTCGGCCAATCCAGTTCACACCGTGATGTCTCACTCGTTGTCTTTCGCGATGGCGCGCGTGATGTCCACTTCTCAGTCAGATCCTGCGATCATTCTTGAATGGCAGCAGAGAGCACATCAAAGAATCCGAATGGGAAGTACTCGTCATAACTGATCATATCGCCATACGGAGCCACGGGATCGAAGTCGGCTGCGTTGATTCCTACTGATGGGGCTTCGTAGTTGAGACTGCTCTCCTGTGCTACACGAGAATCCTCAAGGCCACCACTCCTCTGAGCAGCTGTGAATCGATGCAGCATCTTACCCACGCCAGTCGCAATATGATACGCAAGATGCCGTTTACTAGCTTTTGCATTTCGGAGAAGCTCCATTACTCTGCTCATCAAGTCTTGGATTTGGACCAACTCCATACCAAGCTGAGCGCCCCATTTTTGGTGGACCTTGAGCATAAACACGGTTGCGTAGGTAATCATTGTATGTACGTATAAAGGTACCCCTACGATAGCGTTCGTGATGTCAGGTTCTTCGAGCGTCAACCTGAGAATCATAACAGCCGATGAGACGGCAATGCTGGCAAGCTCACAACGACCAGGAGACAGGATCATTATGGCCGGGCTGAGACCTCTGAGTGCTAGCGAATTGAGTTGAAGTTTTGCATAATGGCAATGGAGATCAACGCCTTTGGCAGGATATGATCCAATATAGCGATGAGGCGCCAGCCGCTGTTGCCAATCCAGGCGGTACTGATCTAGATGCTGATTGAAATTCTTGACACGAGTGAAGTCTTCCTCTGTCAATTGCTCTTCGATATCTGGTCCAAACGTATTGTAGATGTCGGTGAGAATGATGAAAATTGCGACTTGACTATGGAGTCTCTCATCGGCTTGGGTCACCTGGGGCAGCTGCAAAAGTCTGACATGATTGAGAACAATCTTGCTTGCGTGAATGACAGGTGGTCTGCCATAAGCAATGCTGAAGTGATGATCGCAAACGTATAAGAGGAGCCAGAGTCTTGCGCCTTCGATATGTTCGGCTGATCCTTTCATAGCTTTTGAATAGCTCTGATGCAGGTTGAGTTCTGTAGCAATACGAACAGCATGACCTGAAAGCTTCCCTACAAGATCTGTTAGCACTGCACCCTGTGGCATGGTTCGTGGATATACAGCTGAGATCACTTAGCCAGAATGCTCCTATGGTCAACCCTCGAATTCCATCCATTGTGTGGTAGCGGTCGAGCATGCTATCACATATGAGACCCACAAACTCGGCGTAACATACATCGAACACAGCTTCCATTCCAGGAACATGGAGGGCAGATACTGTTAAGATGGCTGCTAGCAGCAGCGAGGAAGAACAGCGTACTTCCATCAGTCCAGGATGAACCAGTGCAATGCCACCCCAGAGGTAGGCATTGAGATACTTTGAAAAATACTCGAAGAGCTGCTCTGCATCTTCAAGGGACACCTTCCCTGACGATATGAAGTCACCTTCACCGGGGGTATATCGCTGACGGAGTCTGCTCTGAGGTCTGCTCCTCAAATTCCGGAGTTTGGTGACTTCATAAAGACTTCCCATTGGGTCTGTGACAATCGTGCTCGAGTGCGCCTCATCCTGTTCAGGTTCTTGGGAGTTTTCACGAGTCATTGCCATCGCGGCTGGAACTCGTCGGCTGGGCATAGCATTTGAAGCACTTTCTACTTCCGAAGCAAATCGGACAATGGGTGGTGCTGGCCGTTTATCTCTTGGTGAGGCGGGAAAACTCTGGCGGGATGGACGATTGAAGGTCTCCATCGCGGGGAGATTGAGAACTTTGAGAATTTCTGAGACAGCTTCTCGAGTTGTTGAGGCATCGTTCTCAATATCTCTCTTCCATCTGGTCGAGATTAACAGCTTTCACAAGATACAATGCTCCACGGAGGTTCTCACTGAGCTTCATCCTTAAGAAGAGACTGAAGGTTCTTATTCAAGACACACTGGAGACCTTTCTTCGCACATCGAGTACAGATATCTCCTCTTGGCCCAAGGTCACATTTGATCTTTCTTTTTTGGCATTCTGTACCTGCGGGATTCGTCAGCCCACGATCCACGTTGGCGCGCGAGTGGGGTCGCTTCAAAAACTCACATGCAGTCACCGTTTTTGACACCTTTGGATCTCTCATTCCGGGGGAGCTATCGTGACCATTTTGGAGATCTGATGATGAACTCTGGAAGGCCTCCAATGGGCGTTTTGTCCCTGCTCGCGACATCGCGTTCTGGTTTGAAAATCTTGCTCGGTCGCGTCACCGAGGAGGGCATGACTGGGCTGTTAAGTTGTCACTCCAAATATCATCAAATCCTAAAGACGAAGATCTCATACTCGGCTGTGATTGGATATTCAAATAGTTGAAAGGAGTTGTGGGCTGATAAATATCACTGTGCTTGAAAATGTCGCGAGGAGAAGTCGAGGTTCAGCGTGCACTAAAGTTTTAATCAGGCCTTGCGGTCCAGCCGATGGAACTTTAACCTTACACCTTGCCGACTTCAAACAAAAATTAGTCGCGAGACATCCATATGACAAAGGTAATCTTATTTTGCCGACCGGAGAGTATGCCATGATAAATCGTATTTTCTACAAGTTCTGCTCACTACGTTGCTCAAGACCAAGGCGGATTTAACATATCATTACATGCTTCCTCCTCCTTAAGTCACTTTCTAGAGTGAAGCAAAGTCAGGAAGAAGATGGCGATAAATTGAAAAGATGTCAATCCCTAAGTTACACAAATAATTCCTCAGTGTTAAGCGCGTTCGGCGCATTCAGCGCATTCAGCGCACCAGCTCCACTACCTGAACCCTTCTGATACAGGTGCGGGGTAAAACAATTTACCCCTCCCCATTCTCTACTCCATCATCTCAGGTTAAAACAAAGCAAAAATACTCACCATCCGAATTCCGTCTTCCTGATAATACCAGCAGGTCCAAAACTAGAACTTGTCAGCAAATCACGACAGCACTTACAGGAGGAAATCTCACCCCCACTTCCGACCGTGAAATTCGTAGTACCTAATAAAATCATCGAATTCATCATCAGTAATCGATGATGAAGTCCAACCATTTAATTTCATGATTTTCCGGAGCGCAATCAGGAGCACACGCTTGTCGGCGTCATATTGACCTGGTTCATAGACGTTGCCAGTACCAAGGGCAGTCATGCATCCCTTGAAAGGTTTTAGCATGGTTCTGAATCGAACTGCTGCTGGCGAGTCGCCAGAAGATGGCGGACACATTTTGATAGGAGGCGGTACAATTGGCCACCCATTGGCTACACGTACGACTGTGCCTTGTGTAGGTGTAGGTGGAAAGAGATACTCTTTCCATCTATCGAAAGTTAGCTTCAATTTGAGTTCCAGGTAAATGGCCTTGCCTGAATAAGACGTTTTCTTTCGTGCAACGTTGTAAAAATCCTCGCCATTCGCGGGGTGTCGGGCTTATAAACCCCTCTCGGACAATGTACCAGTACAATTGATGCTCCGCGATCGTGAAATGGAGCGTGTCTAAAGCAAGCTCCTGACGACGTGAGAACAGAAATTGTACTATCAGGTCGAATCTAGGGCATAGGGGTGTGAAAATTGGTTCGAGGTATGGAGCAGCGTTTGGTCTCGAATAGCTTTGAGTGCCAGAAGCTCTGGCGGCGTTGAGGCGGGCTGTTCGATATGTGCGTTGTGCTGCAGTGCGTTGCATGGCAGATTGAATCCTTCTCGTTGTTGCATTTCTTCGGGTCTCAACTAGGACAGCCGTCTTTTGCGCAACGGTCATAGAGTCGTCCATCACCGGATCTATTCCAGGTGTAGGTATCTCGTCAAAGTCTTCTTGCTGCCCTGTAATGGTAAGGCACGAAGGAAAGGGTAACGATTCGACTTCTACGTACCTTGACCGAATATATACACGCTGCTGGCAGGTAGTGGACCCATATGTGTAGCCGTGGGCCCGTTCCTGCACGACGTCAGTAAGAATATTAACAATGTAGCGGCATCTGACCCTCTAACATGGTAGTTCCAGAAGCCCGTGTCGTGGAAGTATTGAAAGTATTCCACCGGAACTGGAGATATCCTTTCGTAGAGCCACCCTGAAGGTTTGGCGGCTATAGTTGGGTTGCCTTCGCACCGGTATTCATTATGAAGTGTATTCCAATCTGCTCTTTCGAATCATTAGCCTGTAAATCAATACCATCAGATTCACCTACAACACGAAACCGGCATATGGAAGGCCGCCAGCGTTTGTATGATCGTTGATCTTGTCTGCCATACCGCCGCAGAGCTACGCATTGATCAGCTGCATAAAACATGTGGTTTTGGCGTGCAACTCACTGCATTCTCCATCGAGAACCCTCTAGTGGTTCAATCAGTATCGAGAAGTTCGCGGTGTACAGGGACATGCTCACAGTTCTGCTAAACACTCGTCTTCGAAATAAGGCTCCGGGATCTTGAAATCGATACTAGTCATTTCGGCGTGCAAGGCATGCTAGAGAAATATTAGATTCGCGCCAATGCTGCTTGATGTCACTTACGGCTAATTCATGTAAGATCGTAGAAGCAAGACTGAATTGAGATAGTAATCTTTCCGCTGGGTGCATATTCTTATTCAGCAACGGCTGGATATCGTATAAATCGAGACAGCACTTCGTTGCATGCCACCAATTCTTTGGCACCGTAATACCGTGGAACATACTAGTCGTTGGTAGACCTGTCGACCACTCGGAACATCCACAGACAATATCGAACTCTATACTGCTTCCCATCCGAAAAAGTCTTTCTTGAATATCACGTATGCCATCATCGCTGTTGGCATCTGCAGGTGTGCGTCTGAAGAATCTATAGTAGTCCTGCCCTGGTTTTCCTGCGGTGACACTAACATAACAAGATATTAGCGACGGGCATTAGATGCGTCTCAATGATGCTGATAGAAGGCACAGCCATCTCGCGAGGCCCCCAGATTTTGGGATCTTTTCTCAGGGAAGTCGGGACCCTTACTCAGCTTGATCCACTTTCCTGCGAGCTCCCATTAGAAAAGCATCCCACCAGGGTGAGGTATTATGGTTTGTGAGTATCACGGTGGCTAGCTTGAGGCAAGGCTGCAGGATGTTCCAGACATCATTGTTGTTGACCTGCGTATATTGAGTAACATTCGCACAGAGGACAAGGAGTACTTACATCCCAGAATCCGTCGCTCTCATCTGTGCCTAAGCCTATAGGCCAGGAACCTTGATTTAGGGGCCTTGGATGGGCCCAGTTCTCTCTTCTAAAGATATCGTGAATGGGTAGCCCATCAAGGTTCTCAGGCTGTTCCACTGGCCTTTGAAACGCTAATGATTCCAAAGCCTCCAACTCTTCCGTGGTAAAGGCTTCATTGCATTAGCATTTGCTTTCCCCGCTGTCCAACCACTAACTATGGAACCTATCTCTTTGGTATTGTTGTAGAACTTCTTCCTCCACCAGTTCGTCAAATCCTGCATAGGGGTTGGCGTATATCGGAGTAAGGCCACTTTTGAAAGGAACATTATCTCGTATTACGGTGTGATTGATGCCTGATACCACTCCCGTTAGATGGGAATAAATCTCCGCTAGACTAGTTTTGGGGCCACTAGCCCGTGGCAACGCCATGACCCGAGTGAGAAGTGTACAGAGGAGCAACGAATGTAGTGATGTAGTCAGGTATCGACGTGACAATCGAATTGAACATGGATCTCATTAAGATATATAGGAGATAGAGAGAAGCGAAGGCTTTGCTTTGGCAGATGCGGGTAACTAGACTTTATTCGAAGTCAAGTAATCAAGATATAAATTCGACAAGGACACTTGTCACAACAATGATGAATCGAAAAGGAAGTCGCGTCCAAAATGGCGATACAGAAGGCTGGGGCAAATGCCGAGGCCAGGAATGCTCGCAGCTTTGAGACCATCCAATCGTAGAATTCCCGGGATACTTCGACGCATTTCAAACGACTTCCTTGAAGCCGGAAGCTTCTTGGGCATAAGATGTGGAGAAGAAGGAGACAGGCGTTTTCTTGCGGTCCCGAAATTGTTCTCTTGGATCGACATTTGCCCAACGATGTTGTCGCATGTGGGAAGCGAACGCGCGGACGCGTTTGTTGTTTCTCTTACAATTTTCTCCTCTGCTTCCTTTTCTCAACACTTCTATGTTCAACACCACAACCAGATCGAGTATATCCCCAGGGCGATATCTATGGCCGTGTTAACAGCTGCCTCATCCTGCAGCTGCCATCACCCCTATTGCTACGCGCCTCGAGACGATCCATCCATCGTGCACCAGGTGCTCCACCCCAAGCTCTTCTCCGAGTCTGCCAGCCAGCACTAGGAGAATTGGAGCACGACAATGAAGAGTTGAATCAACGCAACTTCTTCGACGGGAAATGGTTCTGTGATTCGGCATACGATCGGCAAAGCACATGAACGTAGGAATGGAGGCTTCGATGTTGAGTACCCAGGCATGATGAGAACCACTGCCTTCTTCGATGAATTGGAACGAATCTGATCCTACAATATGTATCTGCAGACTTGCTTCGAACTCGTCAGCCGTCTCCCTTTGTCTCTTTCCGTCGCCTTACGGCATTGTCGAACATAATCTCTCTCGACTTCTGTCTGAGCCTCCCGATCTCATACCTCCACGAGCAATGCCGGGAACATGCGTCTACACAATTGGAGACGAGCTGCATCCGGGTTTCGATGTCACCATGCACAAAAGCTGCCGCTGTTTCCAAGGGATTCTCTCTTCCACATTACCCGTGCGCACCGGTCATGTCTATCTCGCTCTGGGTCATGGTAAATGGATCGTACGCATGGGAACCTACCATAGCTCCGGATATAAGTGTAAAGGCTCTTGCTCCGAAGCGCACGGAGTACTCATCATTGTGTTTCTGCAAATCACAAGTCGTGAGGACGCTCGCCACTCAGGTAGGCTCTGCTAGGAAGATAGGTTGTCAGGTGTTGGATTGTTCATTGTTGCAGACATTGCCAGAACGCAGCAATCTCTTCATCAGTCTTTTCACAAGCTGAGTCTCTACAACTTTCCAACTATCCAGGTTTTCGAGCTATCTTCTCGAGATTCCAGCGAATGTCCAGAGAATAGACCCCTTCCTTAACCCCAATTGCAATCGCGGCTACAGTTCTTACGCAGAACAATCCTCCAAATTTTCTGCTCTTCAACTTCATTCATAGCCTTTACTATCCTTCCGCTTACTCTTCTTCTTGACAACGGGGCACCCAAAGCAGCAATGCCTCCGTGTTACGTTCCTGCATCTCGAGCTGCTCTACTGAATGCAGCTGCAAGTGCGGGCGGCTTGGGGTGCAATACCCGATAACTTGGTCGTGGAGCGGTGTGTGATCCATGTCTGCCATGCATTTCTGTCAATAGTGCATACTGGTCGCTTATTTTGGGATATAGAAAAGGCTGATATCACGCTGTCGTGCGAAACTTTGCATCGAGAGTCAATCTACGTCGGAGCTACGAATCTGAACGAATCTGGCTTGTTGTTTTGCTAGTCAACATGCTCTTTTCTATCTTATCTGTGTTTCTGCTCGCCCCTTCACTCCTCGATGCTATTCCCACCTTTTCGCGCGCTGCGCCAGAAATCCGCCAGATCTTCACTTTCCCAAACAATACTTTCATCGAGAACATTAGAGTACGTTTTAACGGCGAGCTCCTCCTCACTTCCATGAGCGTCCCAACCCTCTTTGAGATCGACCCTACAGCATCGACACCAAATGCATCAATCGTCTACACCTTCCCCAACGCCACTGGCCTCGCAGGAATCACCGAAACCGTGCCAGATACATTCGCCATAGTATCCGCGACATGGGATCTCGTCAACACACGCGCAATACTCGGTACAATCGTCGTCTGGACCATCAACCTTGGTTCCACTCCACCGATCGTCCATCGAATTGCCAACGTCACGAACTCAACAAGCTTCAATGGCATTGCCAGCATTCCAGAATCACCAAATCTTATCCTCGCAGCAGATTCCGCAATTGGTGCAATCTGGCGAGTCGATCTTCTCACTGGCTTGTACGGAATCGCATTCTCAGATCCACTATTTACTCCGATTAGTACAGCCCAGGGATCGAATCTGGGAATCAACGGCTTGAAGATCAAGGACGGGTATCTGCACTTCACCGATTCAGCTCAAGGCATCTATGGCCGCGTCGAAATCGACAGCCTTGGAAACAAAATCGGTGCTGTAGATCTGATAGCGAACATCACAGCCTCAGTAGCGACGGGTGGTGTTTATGATGATTTTGCGCTGGATCGTATGGGGAGGGCCTGGATTGCTACGCATCCGGAGTATGTAGTTGAGGTGGAGCTGAATGGCAGTCAGGAGGTTATTGCTAATGAGACGCTGCTGTTAAATCCTACGAGCGCTGCTTTTGGGAGAGGAAGTACTGCAGAGGAGAAGACGTTGTATGTTGCAAATGGTGGGCTATTTGCCGGCGATGATTTGGTTGATGAGGGGGTTGTAGCTGTTGATGTTAGTTGCTTTGGGTAGAAATTGGTGATGATGAATGAACATATCGAGAATTGAGTCTCGTTTCTACATCAAATGAGGGAGAATTGTTTCTTCGATATCCAGACATTTAGTTGAGAAAATATGGATCCCAAGTAGAACCGTCTACGGAGTACTACGGACGGACTTGTTCATCAGGAAATGTGGGGCAAACGATATGAAGTAGACATTGATTCTTTGCATTTTCTTTGTCCCTGTATGATTTCGAACTCCTCCACTTTGGGGTCGACCAAGCTCAACTCAATGTTGGTCCTTGTTTTGACTTCTTGATTGTTCGAGGGGTCCCACATCCAGAAACTGCTGACTCAGCATCACCTCACCTCACCATTCAGCAAAACCCTCGACTACAAGTCTACAACAGCCAACCATCTCTCAATCAACTCTTCAGTCAAAATGCCCATCCCCTTCTGGACAATCGGCAGCATCTACGGTGCATCCGCCATCGCAATGGGCGCCTTCGGAGCTCACGGCCTCAAGAAAAAGATCGCAGACCCAGCACGCATAGCAAACTGGAACACAGCTGCTCATTACCAAGTACCTCCTCCTCCCTCGTCCCCCAACCCAGACACAAGCTAACAATCGTCTTCTCTCAGCTCGTTCACTCCGGTGTCCTCCTCCTTACCGCTGCCGTCGCGCCTAAGAATACTCTCGCTGCAAGCCTGCTGGTTGCTGGCATGACGATGTTTAGTGGGAGTATTTACCTGCTTACGCTGGATCCGCAGAGGTTCAAGGCGTTGGGGCCTGTTACGCCGCTGGGTGGATTGTGTTTGATTGGAGGGTGGGCGGCATTGGCGTTTGGGAAGAGGATTCCGCTTGTGAGGTGATTGCTAGTTGGGATTGTATATATGGGTCATAGATGGTATGGGAGCTCTCCGCTATTGTACGATGAGGGATGGGATTGAAGACTTGTGTTGATATTCCAGGGATTCATGAGGAGAATGCATGCCATTAACCTCGTAGGTTATTGGTACATCTCACGTCTCTCCCTTACTTCAAATGAGATGGGATGTCATTCTAGAAAGAGCAAGAAAGAACAACAGTAATCCGGAGACTTCTGCGGAGACTTCTGTAATTAGCTGGTCACTGCCGGATAGGTCTGGTCAAGGCAGCTTGAAAGCATTTGCCATTTGCTATGGGTATAGTCAGTCTCCAACTCGGACAGTAGTAGAACCCGTCATTAAAGGATGCCCCGTGTCTCAATACTCCACCCCACCAACAACCTAACATTCCTTGGCAACTACTCTGTAGAGCATTTGATGTATAATCCATCTCGATCCACACAACCTTAACACCGTGATGTCCACGGTCCATAGCCCTAAATAGCCAATCGTAGATACGAATCCTACAAGCATTACCAAAGCTCTCGGCTTTCGCTCAAGCAAAGAAGAGCCGAAGTCACGAAATGTGACCTAAGCAGCTCCGGAGACTTTTTCTTGCGGCGGAGACTTTCAGCCCTATCCAACCACTTCAACCCAAATCTGATGTCGTGCAGCAACTTCTGACAAAGCATATTTGAGGTGAGGAAACTTATCAAGTGAGTTCTGTGGGGCGGACCAAGGTTGGAGCGGGCGCTAGTAAGGTCCGTATGCATCAATGATGCTGCGCGTCCTCGCGTCGTACAGAAGTCTGGAAGTATATAAGTTTGCGAGGTTCTCTATCGAAATTGTATATTGAATTTCAAATTCAAATTTCCAACCCCTTTGGCGTCCTTGAATTCAATCCCTCAAACAACTCCATACTTCATAGAAAATCCAACATCCCAACCATGTCAACCTTCAAAAACATCGCTCTTCTCGGTGTAAGTCCTCTCCAAACAATTATCTCACCTCACTAATCCCACCTAGTCAACCGGCAACCTAGGCTCACGAATCCTCACCGCACTCAACAAAGCCGGCTTCACCGTGACAGCCATTCAACGCAAAGACTCCACTAACACTCCCAACGGCCCAGCCCACTCCTTGAAAGTCGACCTGAGCTCCGAATCCGAGCTCACACGCGCATTCGCGAATCAAGATGTCGTCGTCTCCGCGCTGCCCATGCCCCGGCTAGCCACCGACAAGATTTGGATGAACGCCGCCATCGCCGCTGGCGTGAAACGCATCGTGCCTTCGGAGTTCAGTACTAATATGGATAACAAGCTTTCTCAGAAATTGCCGATTATTAAGGATAAGTTGGAGATTAGGGCTTATGTGGAGGAGTTGGGGAAGGAGGGGAAGGTGGAGTGGAATAGTGTTAATAATGGGCCGTTTATGTTACCGCAGATGTGGTTGTCTGGGTGGATGGGACCGAATCCCAAGACGAAGACTGCTACGTTCCATGATGGTGGGAATGCGATCGTTGGTACTTCTACCTTGGAACGGATTGGAGAGGGAGTAGCTGCTTCTTTGCTACCAGAGAATGCGGAGAAGACGAAGAATAAGGCTGTTTATGTGTACTCGGCAGCGGTGAGCGAGCGTAAGATTGCGGATGTCATCTCGAAGTTGTTGGGTGGGGTCACGTTTGAGGAGACGGATTTGAGCGTTGAGCAGATTACGAAGGATGCTTTTGCTGCGTATGAGAAGGATCAAAGTACGCACGATATGAGGTTTTATATCCCGTTCTGCTTTGGGAAGGGGTATGGTGGGGACTATAGGGATATTGCTATGAATAAGGAGTTGGGGTTGAAGGAAATGAGCGATGGAGAGCTGGAGGAGATGTTCGCGGGGACTTTGAGGAAGCAGGGGCTTATTCAGTAAAGGAGCAAATGTACTTCCTTCGTGTCTGTATGTCTAGTTTCCTTTTTATGGCTATGAACTTGCGTACATTCCTCTCCAAGCTGCTTCGTGGTAACATGTCGACTGCCACCTTACACTACATTCTCCAATGTCACAATCCAGATTTGACTAGTGTGAATGCTATTCGCAACTGGATGCATCCAGCTATGACTTCTTTGTGTTGCTATTAGGACTACGACTCGAATTAAGCACATAAACGAATTCTCAAGACTTATGATGGAGGGAATGGAGAATTTTGGATCAGGCTGCTGCTGGTGTATCTTCTCACCTTAGAGAGAAAGAATGGGATGATAATACAGGATTAGGGAGGCGAAGCGCATGTCCACTGCATCATAGGTTCATGAGGCGTCTCTCTTCGTCTCGCCAAGTCACTTGCACAAGGTCTTCACATTTATGGCCATGACGCTTGGATTGCAGTTCTCAATGCTTATTATCATTCAGTCGATCACTGAGGATCCAGTCCGCCCCAGTATGACCAGAAGAAGACCATTTCCATTCCTTCCCGCACCTGAAACCAACGCTATTATGTCTCCACGCTATCCTTCATGCTTTCATGACGAGACGAGAAACTGAAAGTCGTCTAGAAGGATTAGTATGTCTTGAAAAGCCAAGAGAGGAATGAATTACATACCAATCTCAAAGGAAAGCAGCAAGAGCAGCAACTCCCATCAATCCACCAACGCCAAGACCCAACGTAGCTGCAGCAGCGCTGGAAGTCGAACCTGAAGCCGAAGCCGTAGTCGTGCTAGTAACCGACGTAGCCGTGCTTGAATTATCGACAGTGATGGTCGAGGTGCACGTAGTGTTGGCAGCTTGAGAACCGGAGACGGTAGAGCTGACGCTGTAAACAATCGTCTCAGTGCTCAAGAGGCTGCCGGTGAAGGTTGGGTCAGAGATGAACTCGGAGAAGACAGACGTGCCGGTGGTCTGGTAGACGATGACGGTGCCGGGGTGCTCTGTGGTGGTAGAGGTCTCGGACTCGGTGATGGAGAGTGTGGAGGTTGGATCCTCTTGGACGCCGATGAAACCGAAGTTTTGGGCAGCGAGGGTGAGGGTGGAGAGAGAGAGAACGAGGGTGATGATATTAGACTTCATCTTGACGGTTGTTCGATTAGATTGTAGAGAATGGTTTGAAGGGGGTTGTGCTGTTTTGAGGTTTAGGTTGTCTGTTTGTCGTTGAAGTGTTGCGAGGTCTCGAGGTGGTTTGTTTACAATTGAAGCAAGGCTGCGATTTTATGGTCTCTCGATCTGCGCTAGTGGGGGTAGGTACTTAATGCCAAGCTCAGAGTGAGCTTCAAGGTAAAGTTGAAGGTGAAAGATTTGGGTAGTGAATGGCGCACATGTTGAAATTCACTTTACTATTTTACCAAAAGCACTTAAAAGCACTTCAAGCACGGACAAAATCGCGGACATGATGACATTCACCCTGCCACTTGCAGAACTACAGACTTCCAGATCTCAGCTCCAGCTGTATATCTAAACAAAATTCTCTTTCTCTTTTATTACCTGCAACTCACAAATGGATTGACAGTCGATTTCGTCTGGCTCCAGGGTACGCACTTCATCTGGTATACTTGCGATTATACTGTGTCCTTGCACATGTATTCTGTTTTTTTTACGGAAAACTACATTATCACGGACGAGAGGCATTACTAAAGAGTATCGCCTAACCAAGTACTGATTTGTTTTTGTGATGCTGTCACTCACTGAACCTTCCTATCCATGTCGTTCCTCAAACCAACAAATTCTTCCCCATTTTACAAAGTCAATTTCCTGCACTTGCCAAATACAACGTCCTTCAAAATCTTAGTCCTTCAAAATCTTAGTCCTTCAAAATCTTAGTCCTCCAATGCGCATAGTGGTCTCCTGATGAGACGCATTATCCTTTGGGATTCTTTCTGGGAAAGAATTCCAACTGACCACGTCGACGGGCTGTTCTTCTGCCTCGTGTCCCAGTCCGAGGTTTCCTAGGAAGACTGCCTTTCGGCCCTCCCAATACGGTACAACGACTGTAGGCGCTGGTACGAACTCTGCGTTATCGCTGTCATCGACGAACTCCGCCTCGGCCCAAGACAGCTGTTCAACATCTAGAAGGCAATCGGCGAGCAAAGCGAGGGTGTTGCCGTTGAAATCGCAGACCACGACTCACAATGTAGGAGCTTTCCTGTAGAAGATTCGGCCAATGAAGACCCCATAGAAAGTAAAAGACTAGTCTTCTGAATCTTTGTAAGAGATCTTGCGAAAAAGTTGAAAATAATAGTTGAAGAATGCGGCCATGCCGGAGGTGTCGTTGAGAGACTCTGGATTTGATGGAGAGACACAGAGGTCGATGTCAATGCGCTCGACGTTGGACGAGAATAAGAGGCATATGTCGATGTGGCCGTGATCAGGATGATAATAACAGAAGAAAGGAAGAGGATCCAGGTAATTTGACAGCTTGCCCCAGAGGTCGCTGACGGGTATGTCGATCATGGCGATTGTAGGTCGAAGTCCGGTTGTGAACACGTTCGGAATTGAATGGAAGATGTAGTTTCGGATCCTGTTATTGCCCTGGTGTACAGGCTTCTCACTACTTTTCTTCGTATAGATGTCATGATCGTCGCTTGCTCCATCAAATCTCAGTGTGCGTGCGCTGCTACAGGTTGGTTTCTTGTTCACATAGTGTGCGTCCTCCGCGACCTTGTTGCCTTGCATATTGACTGCCGATGTTGCAGCAGTGCTTAATTCTTTAGGAGATTGGAACACATCCTTTATAATGTTGATCATATCGTCTGGTCGAGGAACATTCTTTCTGCTCCACAGGGCTTTGGTATGAGAGCTTGTGGCCTGGGTAGCTGGGAGACTTTCAGTACGTATTATAACAAGTCAGAAGAGAGGAATATTATTACCCTTGGAAGTAATGTTCATAGCGCTGGTAGGATACACCGAAGATGGAAACCCTAGATGGTCTGACCGGTTAGTTGGTTGTTCTTGAAGGCTTGCGTTATGGACCGTGAATTGTATGTTTGCGTATCCAGAAGTAGAAGTCTAGCTTCTGCGCTGAGTAGGCAGGAAATCTTCAGGTCGATTGGTAAGGTGACTGAAAGTCCAATGTCGATGGATTAGAGGTGAAGCTGAAGGTGTAAATGGAAATGGAAAGGGAAGGAAGGAAAAGAAGCTACTTCGTTACACATGGAATAAAGAAGTTCACCGGAGTCATATTAACGATCCACGTGACGCGCCCGCCAACTACTCGATTTCGCAACGACGAATGTGTGCCCTATCATTGACCGCATGGTTTCTAGAAAACATCATGCCATCGATAAAACTTCCCTAGAAGCATTGAAGGCAAGGCTCACCAAAATAACGGGGGATCGTTAGGATGAAGACAAGAACTGCAGGTCCAGGTCCTGAGTCTGACCGGTCGCCATTCATTGGTTGGTGCAGGGAAAAGAGACAAACAGATGAGGCAAACGAAATGGCTCTGGCTCTCTCACACGTTGCCCATGAGGTTCCATATCAACAACTTTTCCTCCTGCGAAAAATTCGTCGTTCTCGATGGTTGCTTTGGACACTGCCGCCGTGACTACAACCCAGTGCTCTAGACGGGTAGTTCGGACAGTTATTTTGGTCATAACCGGGACCGTCTAACTTAGACGATTATAATTTAATTGAAAACTACTATTATGTCGGATATTAATAGATTTTAATAGTTATTAACTACTAAATAATTATTTATAACGTCTAATTAAATACTTTATAAAATGTAAAAATAAGTCACAATTTCATTGAATTAAAAGACGAGAATATCAGTTTTTAACGACTAAGAACTAGAACTATCCAATTATAGACGGTTATTTTAAATTTATGTCCGAGAAAAGTCTAGACGGACAGTTCCTGTCGGACACGCTAAACCGAATTGGCCGTACAGAGCGCTGCTACAACCTTCTGAATCTCTGAAAGCTTCCAGAGAGGCACAAAAGCAAACAAATCTCTCAGAAATGCAGCAAAAAGAAGGAGCGGAGGAAAAGGAGAGATCTGGAGGCACGAAGGACGAGAGCCATTGGGGAGAACAAAGCGCCTCTCAGCGGCTAGCAATAAAGGCTCCAAGCGATAGCAGCAATCTTCCAAATCCCTATTCTACGAAGTGGTATATCGACGAGATCATTGCTGCGATTCGACCAAAGAGAGCCGAGGAGAGTTTTCGTTCCATTCAGCGTCTTGAGACCTATGTCGATGCAGCTGAACAGCACGAGGAGCTTGCTACTGCCTTCTTCAATGAAGCTGAGCGCCGACGCATTCAGTATTGCAAGTCAATTCAGGCAATTATACAGTGCTTATGCCAACATGCCCACGTTCTTCGTCGCTCAAAAAGAGAGTTCTTTGGACCATTTCGACTCCCACAAACAACCACCTCAAACTCGGACAAGACCACCGATTCAGCAAGGGCCACCAAGCCCGCAACTAAGTTGGAGGAATCTAAGCTTGAATCATACATGGCTGGCGAAAAGGCGTTATTGGAGCGAATTTCCGAGGCTTTGCGCAAGTTATATACAGCTGCAACTGAACTTTTCAATCTCCCCTCTGCCGGCGTGCCAAGGGATCCTGATGCTCCCTGACGACGACTCAGAGGTTGGTACGCACTCAATGAGCACGCTCTGTCAGTGGCAATCTCCGGGCATAGTGTCTTCGAAATGGTCGTGGAATGTCTAATCCGGGATCTTCCACAGCACTGGGAAGTTGGTTAGTTCGCCCATTCTGATTGTCCTTTGATACCAATTTTTTGTTCGAGTATCTTGACTTACGTTGCATAGCCCAGATCGGAGAGGAGATTCGTAGAGTTTTGGGGGCCTCAATCGTAGGCAAGACGTCCGCTGGAATGCCGCAAGTAATCTTCATCGCACAGACTAGACCGCACACTTCTATATCACCTATCTAGCTCGTGGGTGCGACGAAACCGGATTACCGAACGCACAAATCGCCTCACCGACTTGGACTGGCATGGTTCTACGGACCACAATATGTACTCAATTCCAAATTGAGCTGAAGCTGCCTGGGTTGCAAAGGCAGCTAGATTACATGGGATACCCAGAGCTGGTTCTAGTCTTGTCAATAAGTCTGTCAGTCAATGATCTAATTCACCGAACAGCTTGAACCTTCGAGAAAGTCGAAGGCGGAACACAACCTGTTTGGCGTTATGGGGGGTTTCGAATGGAGAATCGTTCGAATCATCTGAATATACTTGCAGAGAAGAGTATGTAAGACTTGATGCAGTCGATTGAGTCGTAGGTAATGTCTTGTCTGTATTCATGGCACTCGAGTTAGTGGGGAGTTTTGAAGAATTTGAGAGTGCCGAGAATGCTTTCAGTGAACGCGCGACTCACTTAGATTTAAAATATGTTACTTTTCGAGCAGAACCAGGAGAACCCAACCCGTACACTATTCAAAGCTACTTTTGAGGGTACTGCCAAAGTCTTAATACAAAGTACGAGTTCAATTTCGACTTGTCGAGTGCTTTGGCTTGCTCATGCCACAGTCTCATAGCTCATACTTGAAACTCGCAGCTGCAACTCACACATATAGTTCATAACCGCAGCACATGGTAAAAGCTTACAGTCGCAGTTTGAAGTAGGCAAGTTGGAGTTTGTTGATTTTCAGTTAGGCCTGCACCAGACAATTCTCGATGCACCAGATCCTATGAGTGACTTTGAAGCTCCTAGCACTTTATCAACTATACCTGTGACATCCTAGCCTTGATGATTTTGCTTCCACAATGTTGGTGAATACAGAACCCATCAGAGGTAGTTGAGATGATATTAGAGAGCATTACAAATGTCAAGTTGGAATCCCCGGTATCTTGAGAAGCAAATAATTCGTCTTTATAAGGCTCCTCGTGTAGGTCTGTAAACAATTGCAGAAGCTGCTTCGGTTCCTTGTCCTGAGTTGTAACGCTGGTAAGATGAGATGAAGTACAAACTTGAGCAGTGTTTTCGAGAGTAAGTTCGACGAGCAAGCAAAATATGCTCATTCTATAGATGCTCTTTGCAAAATGAAATTCTCCCAAACTTACAATTTAAGAACACCGACTTGGTGATGACTTGTGACCTCTGCTAACCCCAAATATTGGCATATTGGCTTATCATCCCTATTAAAACCACTAGGCTAAACACGAGTGGTTCTTAGCTCGATGGAGGAACCAATACCTTTAAGTTCTTGTTTTATAAAACATCATATCAGAGATCCATACAAGAATCTTAAATGCCTCTAAATAGTCTCATCGTTCAACAACCCCTCAAACCACTTCGCAAACCTCACCGACGGCACATCAACGCCCCTCCAAAACCAATCCGCCGCCACAATCGTAACCGGCCCCACGACCACAAACAACGGCACCAAAATCCCCAATGCGTATCCCCAGCCTTGATACCCCGTGATTCTTTCCCATGTCTGAATCACCACAAAATGACCCAAACTCTTGATGACAGTGCCATGCATCAAATACAGCGCAAACGACGTCTTGCCCATATATTGCGAGATGGGCCATTCGAGGAATCGCTGAACGGCACGAAGGCGGCTGATGATGAACACGAGCAAGATGGCGCCGACGGATTCCCAGAAGAAGAGGTCCCAGGCGGTGAAAGGGTGGTACCAGGAGAGGAGACTGTAGAAGAACACTTTGTCTGCGCCAACGGGAGGGTAGGAGAGGATTAGCAAGGCGAAGATGAAGAGGACGGCCCATACTTTTTGGCTGTTTGAGTGGCGGAAGAGAGATCGGAAACGGGAGAGGGCGCGAGGAATGGGGATTGGGAGAGTGAGGGATTCGTAGTTGTTTCCTTCACCGTCAGAGGGAGATGCTGCTTGACGGCGACGCATGCGGAGATCTAGCTCTGCGATTGAGGATCCAGCGAGGAAGGTGGCGATTGCCCATTCATCCCAGTAGAGGCAGAAAGCCGAGGAGAACATGAAGAATACGAGGCGGATGTTGGCTCGCATTTTTGAGCAGCCGTGTAAGAATAGGAAGAGAATACAACTGGATCGAAACTCGACGTGGAGAGTCCAGGTGTGCCCATCTACATCAGGCAAGATACCATTCTTCGTCCAAGTGAAGAGTGTTCCGCGAGCAAAGTCGAAGTAACTCCTATATGCATTGTAGACCGTCCCCCAGAATGATTCTCCGGCTGGGAGGTACGATTCTACAATGCCCGGGGGCATCGAAGGGTTCTCGGAGTGGAATTTGTCGAACCAGCTGAATACACCGAATTGGACGAGGAAAATGTTCAAGATCCAGAGAGCTGCGACTGGAAGAAACAGTCTGAACCATCTTCGGAAAATGGCTGATCCTAATGCTCCTTGCAGCTTCTCAAAATCGCGAGAGTGTATGAGTTTCAGAGGTTTGTAGCTGAGGACGTAGCCAGAAAGAACGAAAAAGATGGTGACTGCTGCTTGACCATTGTAAAGGAGACGAATGATAGGGAGTTGGAAGATGTAGTAGGTCTGCACGAAATGGTGATTGCCGCCTTCACCGTATGGATGCCAGACTTCGTTACAATAGGCAGTGGTGTAATGTGAAAAGAACACTGCATAACAAGCATAACCTCGTAAGCCGTCTAAGTATGCTGTCTCATGGAGATCTTTGGTTGGTCCCGAACTTCGTCGTAGAAAGCTTGGAATGAAGAATGAGGCAAACTTAATCAGTCCAGATTTGAGCTTTTTGGTGCTCTCTGGACTCCATTGCGAGCGGACTTGTGTGTGTCGAATTGATTGAAGGAAGTGACCGAGTGTGGGGTATTTTCGTCCAGAATTCCTCGGCTTTTCATGGGATATGACTGTGATCAATTCCTTGTCGTCAACCACTTCGTTGTCGAGAAAAGGTACCTGCTCCGCGAAACCAACTTCTCGAAGATCCATCGCAGATCAGATTGTAAGAGAGAGAGGTCTGATCATTGAGGAGAGGCAAGCAGGGAAGGTATAGATACTCGTGGCTGATCTCAGGGGCTTGGCCGAGGTATGGTGAATGCACTTGTGAAATGCTACATCGGCAGCGAACCACTTTAAGATGTTGGCCCGGGATATTCAAGGGAGTCGAGACTTCGAAGGGGAGGCAATACATATAATTGGATAATTCTCTCGGCATCAAGCATAGAAGCAGCATTAGACCGAGCTAGGAGACGTCGTTCCTGACGGACCTTGCACCAATTCCTCTCCACTATCCCCGGATTGAATGCGGGGCAGAAGTGATCGACGCCGACGGCAAATAAGATAAGTCAGAACCAGAAAAAGGCACGAGAACTTTATCGAAGGGAAATCGATACTGCGATAACCTTTTCTCGCAGCTTATTCGACTTTCTGAATACTCAAAGACATGTTGCTTGCGCATCTGATAATATATTCAGTGGTGGATAATTGCAAATATTAATCGAAAACAAGGCATCGAGCTCGGGTGCAAAGAAGGAAACAACTTTCGTATCAAAATTTTCGTACATTCTTATCTCAAATTGAACACGATAGCCATGTCACGAATTTTGACCAGACCAAGAGCCGCCACTGAAGGCATTCCGAAGACCGTCCTGCCTCAGCAGCGCCACAACCGCATCGTCTGTTTAATTATCGAATTATGAAGGATGGTGGTAGATAAGGTGAAGATCACCCCTGAGGACGTCCATGAATGCGAGCGCCACTTAAATGCTCTGCATGTAGGAATGGCATCGTCAGCGAAAGTGTTGACTGATCACAATCACACCTTCTCGGCATTTGCGAACACGTGCAGATGCAACAATGCCATGGAGCGAGATTGGATAAAATCCCTTCGGCCAAGGTCTTAAAGCTCAACTTGATGCGCATAGACGGCTACAGATTCTCAGATGCTCGCATGCTGTGAAATGGAGTGAGAAGGGGGAAAATCCGTTTGAAGAGTCGAGAATTTCATGTTTTCTATTCTGACGCCACATTGCGGCTCGAGCAGAAGTGGCTGATTTCTTCCAGCTATAAAATATTCAAATTTCCTTCCGCACCTCTGCGTTTCCTAGCTCGCTTCACTTGTTTCAGTTACGCCAACCTCTCTCACAATCTCCTTTCAAATTATTGATGGCTAACCTCAAAGGCAGTTTCCGCACGAGAGCGCTATTATACCTTCGAAGGGACCCAAGTGATCAGCGAAACCGTACTGGCACGAGGAGAGAAATTCGAACCTCACAGCACATTTAGCTTCTATTCCGCTTGAAGTTGGTTGGACTCGGACTGTTTGCTTAAATTTCAAATTGTCCCTCATCAGATTTTGTTATTGCTTTGTTGGTATTTCAGTCTCAAACGGCTCGAAGTTAAGGCCCGAGGCGCGCGCGTAACAAATGGCGATGGAGATCTTGGACACCTTTGCCTGGTGGACCCAAATTTCCGTGTCTTCAACCAGTTTCATTAATTGTTTCCAATCCAACAGTATGTATCAGATTAGATTGATATGATGATTGTTTAAGTACACAAAATATAAATTTGCGTTGAGCACTGGAGGGAGGTTGCCTACTTCGAATTTGTGGTTTTTTGAAGTTCGTCGCGCGCCTCCTGTTTCAATGGTGTATTGTGGCCGTAAGGTCTCGACCCAAAGGGTGGCTTATGAGAGTATCTGGGCAAAACTTACTTCACCCAACCACTCCCTACTTTTTCAGTCTGCATTTTCTCATGCTCCTGGAATTATGGATTCAGCTGCCCCCGTGCCTCAGACGCGTTGAAACTACGACGCACTCTCGTCGCTAAAATTCGACGATATAATTGACGCTCTAGCCTGTGCCTATGGAGAACGGGAGGATGATTCTTTTGAGTCAACCAGCGCGTATAGCAGACGTAATCAGATCACGGAGTGGCGCGACTGGTATGTTGCGAAGTACCCCCACACAGATCCGATTGGGCTTGTGAATCTTCATGGCGAGAATGTTAACTTACGAGTGCTGTTTATGGCCGATCATGAGGCGGGATACTCAATCTTACTCTTTCTCGAGATTTGCTACGAGGTGGATAAAGCTCTCTGTAGCCTCGATACAGATGCCTTTACGTCGATCAAGATATAGCATTCGCCTGTAGACATGACAGCTTTCAAATACCTACTTTCTGAGCAATTAATGAATTGGTGGAAATCGGGATTTTGTGCACCCAGCAATGAGATTCAATCTCTAGGAGCAAATCGTGTTTCCATTGGCATCCGGCACAGGGATCTCAGATGTGCTTTGGCGAAGATGAATCGATTGATGGATGGCGGAGGGCGTGACTCCAGTGATTTTGGAAACAGAGTCTGGTCATGGTGCTTGGATGTTGAGCTGGAACTTCCTGCTGGTCTTTTCCAAGGCACATTTGGAAGGCACGATCTAGTTAGAGAATCTTGGAAAATCATGCTTGAGCAGCTTCAGCGAAGGCCGCAGGATTATCATGCAACACCTGTTTTATTACCTACTCTCGAAGCTTCAGACACAGAAGGTTGTATCCCTTCAAGATAAGTAGCTGCTTACGAACATGGGGACAAAAGTCCGTGCGTTCAGGCTGTAGAACCTCGAAATTAAAACTCTT